CATCGTGGCTGGGAGTTGTTCCTGGGTGTCGGATTGCGATGTACAGTGGGGGATTCATCACCCTGGCACAAGTTGAGAAGGAGACCGGCGTTCCCATCAGGAAGCCTAGCTAAGAAGAAACCAATACCAGGATCCACCACCGTCCTGGTCTCAAAGTCGCATGATGGCAAATCTCCCTCTAATCCACAAGGACGGGGACTACCTGTGGTGGTGACGACCTAGGACAGACTTTAGTCTGGGTGACCTCGGGACTCCAGGGAACCACAATAACTTAACCAGCAAATCTCCAAAAAATGATGATTATGCTGGGTCCCGCACAACTTGTGAGGACGGGCCGTTCAAGTATCAAATATCAAGTATTGTAAGTAAATAGTTCATCTTCTATAATATCCAAGCCTCATGAATGATTAAACAAGCCTTTTTCTGGCTCATATTAAACTTTTCGTTTGGATTCTGTTAGCGAATTTCACGGACTCTCACTCGAAAATAAATTCAGTAGATTTACTCAGACTAAGCGCAACCCTTGTTGTCTATTTTTTTCCCATCAAGAAACGTTTGTTGAATGGAAAAAGAGATCGTAAATCTACGATCTTTCGAAAGGCACATTAAAATGTTTTGTTGACAACGATCGCTGAGGTGAAAGTTTATGAATCAAGGAATTCTTATGGGTCTTACAGCTTCTTATAAGTACCACAGATTTTTGGCGACATGGAACTTTATAAGGTGCACTTCTTCCCACATTTATCCCTAAAACATTGTGCTTCTGTTATTCTTCAGTAAATTTCTAACTGTGTTGGCCCACGCAGACCAGTCTATAAAGAATCAGTTTGAGAAAAGAACTAGATTTTCTGGTAATGACGATCAGTCTTAGTTCTCTTCCTATATCGCTTTCACTTTTTTGCATCCCTCCCACTGGCGATGTGAAACGTCTTTGCTTTGAAAGCCTTTTGTTCTAAATTATGACAAGGTCTCATCTTTTATTTTGCTTTGATAGGATCGCGCTTTTCAATTTTTGACAACTCTTTACTACCATCGATTTTGGAATAGATCGTCAAGTGATCGCCTCCTTCTAGAGCGCATTCGTGCATCTGCAGAGTGGATTTATACCGTTCTACACTGAGAAGTCTTCGTGGAAATAATGGAGAGAGGCAGGGGGAGGGCAATTGTATTGTAGCTTTGTTCCTGTTCCATGCTTTCAGAAGTGCATTATCATGTGACAATGATTCCTTGAGGCCTCCTACATTTTCCAGTTTTATGCTTGTGGTATAACTTTCTCAGAAATCTGCCGCTCGCTTACACATTCCGACTGATTCGGTTAATAGCGATATTCGTAAACTCTCCTCACTTTACACTTCTCTGTTCGTTCGAACAGACGTTTATAACGAAGAAAAATAAGAAGTGATCAACAAATCTGTCACTGCTCGAAGTCGATTCCAGTTTCACATGCATTAAACCTGCACGTGTTCAAGACATGTCGAAGAGCTATTAATTTTTGCTTAAAAATCACTCCTTGTGGTCCTGGTTCAAGAAACACAGAAATTCATTACAGCACAGATATCTGTGGCTCTTAGTCAGTGTCGGACTTCTTTAATTTTTCAGTGTTGTTATAAGGATATAACTGTTTTTTTCTTTTGGAATCTTAAGTGAAAAAGGAACTTTCTGATCGACATCTACAAGGCAGTGCTAAATCTACTTTCACCTAACCTCGGTGTGAACAATCAACGAATTTTTTGGATTGTTCAGCTTGCACGAAGATATTATAGGTAGGATCTGCTAGCTTTACTTAGACTGAAGGTGCAGAAGTGAACAGAACATGATTTTCATGTCTAGAATGAGAGCAACACTTTGTTCTTCTGCACACGCGCATCGTTATGGTGCCTCGCACTTACCTTCTTATATGCTTTTCATATCTGTAAAAGGTCTACCTCAAACGACTGCATCGTTTGAGAAGCTTTTCCAAAGCACCGCTATCAGATTACTTCATCATCGCCGTGTTGTAAACACGACTATATATATATTGCTAGTCATAACACTGGAGCAACATCATCCCTTCGATAGTTTGCTAGCAATTACTTCTTTAATTTCTTGTTTGTACTTTTCAAAAGAACCATAAAACGAGAAATCGAATGCAGGGCCACACCACCATGTTCTCACCACTCACTTTATTCACAGATGTGCCTTCTGATAGCGTATATTTCTTGTAAGACCTCAGCAATCCTTCCGTTACTGTAGAATTTCATAACACGTCTGTATCTACGGAATCAGCACAGCACCACCGACAGTTTATGGATCACTACAAGATTTTTGGTCAAGAACGGAGCTTGACTGTTTCAATTAAATAAAAGATAGGGTTCTCGGCGTTGGTCAATCCCTGAGAGATGCGCCATGCATTCGACTTCATTAACCATCGTCTAGAAGTCATCGTATGCATATCTGGGCTTTACACTGACACGCGGTAGCTTACCGATGTATCGAGCCAGTGCTGCTATCCTCCCAGACAAGTTAGGTATCAATTAGCCGACCCCAGAGGGATGGAAGGCTTAGTGGGCCATGGGCACCGGGATCGATTCCACGCGTGTGTTGCAAGGCGTCTGCGACCACTGCGTCCATCTGTCAATAAGCTGGCGATTATAAACCATTTAGTGATGAAAGAATTTTCAAAAGTCCAGCATTTTTGTATCAAACGCTAAGATTTAGAGGATTGAATGAAGTAACAGTTATTTTAATAGTACTTCGATAACTTTAGGGTGTCAAATTTCACAGATTGGAAGCAAGTAATTAAAGAATTTTAAACGTAAAAATCTTTCGTGGTTCTAAGTTTGAACTAACCACATTCAACTCGAAGCGTACTTGAGTCTTCATGATAAGCACATAATATCCATACCTCAGCAGTATATGTATTGGAAGGGCCCTAAGTTGCACTCCATCAAATGGCCATGATCTGAACCAGTCAAAGATATCGACAGATCAATGCCGCCAAACTAGCCATGCCATGTGAGGAACTCAGCCTCTTAGCAAAACCGCGTACACGTTGCTAACAGATTTTGGTAGAAAAAGCTTTAGGAATAATTTCAAGCTTTACAAGACTATTAGCACTAGTTGTTAGTAGTACAAGAAATAAATCTTGTTAAGTAGTTTCAGTGAAAGTCGCAGAAGTTGAAGACTGTAAAGTGTAGAAATTGACTATGGCGGTTACATCACTAGTGGAAGGGAAAGTTACGAACTGTTATGAAGAAAATCCCATTAAAAGAAAGCAAGGGGTAGAGGAAATAATTGAAAACTTATGATCTGCATTGTCTGTGGCATATGGCTCTGGTTATGAGCACTTCTCACACTTGTTTGAGTTGTCTCGCAATATCGACAACGTGTTAGAATACTCTAAATAGAACTTAAAAGTGGATCCTCACAAAGACTTTATACAATGTTAACTTTTAATTTACTAGCTGTTACAATTTTCTGAGGCGGGACAATATGTGAAATGCAACCACAATGATGCTGAAATATTTGCGAAACACCGGACCTAGGTGTCAGCAGTGGGGATCGAATACGTTATTACCCTTTCAGAGGTAGAGCATTCACCACCACGCCATGTGGGTTCTTCGTTTCGCCTTTCTCTTGGCTACTTTTTCTACATAGCTGCGCCATTAGCAGTCACACGTCGTCGGAACTCATCTAGGGAGCACAAATCAACATTGAACCCAGACTTATCGACTGGCTTGAATACGGACTAATTGAGTTTATACACTTTGGACGACGGATAAAAACGAAAGTGCTCGTTGTTGAGCAATCCGTGACGGACATGGTTGCAGTTTTTTAACCTATGAAGCTACATGCCATAGCTTACTGACCCACCAAACAAATGTTTTTGTTCTCCCTGAGAAGCGTAACACCAAATTGTCAACATGGAGAGGTGACGTGCTATGTGAGCTCTAGGCGTGGGATTGAATCAATGATCATATGCGTATTGCTGGGCACCTCTAATCGTTGCGGTACAAGTATTCTATACCTCACATAGAGTGTTTTGTCATCGTTTACTTTAACTTCTTTCTTCTATTGAATTTCTTGCACAGAATCTTTGGAATCTTTTGTTGAGGTGATCTTTTTATAATTTTTTACCATCATAGGACCTAATAAAAGTATGTGTTTATGGGTGCATATGGCGCAGTGCTTAGAGATGTTGTGCCACATACATGTGGTCCCTGGTTCATTCTCGCATCCCTGGGTCGTCAAGCCTTCCATCTATCCGGGGTCGGCGAATTGGTGCTAGACTTGTCTGGCAGTATAGCAGCACTTGAAACGTCGATAGGCCATCTCAAATCGTTGTACAAATCATATATGCATTAAATCACCAGTTAATCACCATTAACGAAGTTTAGTTAAGTGAAATGCGTGGAGCACACATTAGGGATTGATAAATCTCAAGAGCTTAGTGTTTTTCATAAGCGGTGTTATTTCTCGGCGAACATTTGGATGGACAGGGCTTGGAATGGATTTGTTAACCGGTTTTTTCTTCTTTTATGAAATCGTTAGTATACATGAATTTTTCTATTAGTTTTCGGAATTTGCTGGCGGATACAGCACGCTTGTTTGCGCTCTTAGAAATACACTTGATCTCACGGAAGAACTGGACGAAAGCGTTGGTGTCAAAGCACCCGCTCAGCACTAGAAGGATTGAACTCTTCCCAACCACTGCTTGACACGATGTTTGGTATGTAAATTTATTTGCTTTCGTATAACCTAAAACTCTGTATTAACCATGCTAGGCAGGCGAAAAGATAAAATGATACAATTATCTAGAGCACTTTCTGTTATTCGGTCGTCAGTTGTTGAGGTCGTAGACCATCACAACTGTAACGGGGCGTGAGAAAGTAAACAATTGCAAAATCTATTCGTTCGGATTCAAAAAAGACAATATCTAGGTGGCAACCATACTGCTTTAGACGTTAGCACTAGTGGGATGACCAGTGGAAAAAATTGAGAGCATCATCATGACTGCTACATCACTTCGTAAACTTTTGTCCACGCATGCGAACAATACTGTTCTCCGCGACATCTGCACGTTCTTCAGCGTTTTCCAAAGCCAGTTGGATTTGACGGAACTTGGAGAGATTTTGTGTAGCAACCTCCTCCTGGAAGAAATGCACCACGTCAGTGGAAATTCTAATTTTCATTTGATCACACCGCCAAAGCATAGTCGTCTTCTTACTGATTCTTGTGGCTTAGATGTCGAACACTTTAAAACCTCCCAAAACTTTTCTACACAAGAAAAGTTTACTACCTGGCTACTGGGGACTACGAGGAATATCGTTTTCGTTATCGTTTCTGAGAAGAAAAAACTTTTTCAGTCCATGTTTTCAGAATGAAGCACTTATAAACACCGCATACGATTTGTACGACATCAAAATTCAAGCAAATCTTTCTGTCTCTTCTATTTCACGGAGCATTAGAACTCTTAAATGAGCGAAGGAATTCATTTTGGGTAACATTCAACCCACGTGATACAAAACGTTGTCGTCCTCAATAAAGTGGATCGAAGAAATCAAGAAAACGCACCGCTTCTTCGATTTGCCTTTTCTGTATTCGAATTTTATGCTGTAACTTTTCTACCATCTCCTGTAGCCTATCGAACATCTTTTTATCTTCTTCCACCTGAATGAGAAATTTGGCAGTATCATATTCACAGCTGATACATGTTTGTGGCTACGAAAGACATGGAAGAGAGCAGGCAGTTAAACATACATATAGTGTAGCATCCACGGATCAGGAATATCATGTTGGTTAGTAGCAAGGCGCCGTGGCGCTTTCCCAGGTGGCGGATAGGGTGTTAATCGCTGACCAAAAGCGTCCTTTGCTTCCCTGAGACACAGGTGGATCCAAGGTATGGACTCCCTCTGTTTCTGTTTCAACTGCGCCGATTTAGCACATACTTTCTGTATTTGCTAGGCGTATTCATGTATTCGTGTGTGGGTGCGTTCTTGCTTATGCAGATTGTATTTTACGAGTCAATTCGGCCAAAAGCCTGCAATCAAGTGACTGGGAAGTATATGAAGGCGGTCAGGAGTCGGAAAAACAAATAAGCTCCATATCCACTCTGGGAGAGTCTGGCAAGCTACCCGTGAGTATACCCAGCCCCCACGTTCACAGCCCAGTAAGCAATACGTGGGTATCAAAAAACTGAGCACAGCACAGTAAAATAAACGAGCCTAGTTTCCCTGAACCCGAAAAAGCTCTGATAGGCCAGCGTTGGTTGGACGAGTTTGGAAAAGCTACTAAAATCGTAGTGCCATCCTAGGCTGCCTAAATCGCAGAGCACTGTGGTGACGATCTGTACGTACACGCACTGTTGAATCTAAATGTTCGGTAGAAGGGCTCATAATGCAAGCAAGAAGGATAAGGTACAAGGTCATCAGCCTGTCTGATGATAAGAAAAACATTTGTTAAAAGATTTTGTAAAGCACAACAAAGCTTCGTTAATTACAAAATCAAGATGATAGCACTCCGACTCCCAGACGAAACACTTGCAGCTTCGAGAGAAGCAATATCATTCACGACTACTACCCTGATTTCTTCAATAGCCACGTCCTCCTTCTCCCATATGAAACAAAGAGCGATGGATATGTCGTACAACCGGTTCTCCCTTCCGAAATCCAGCAAGCTATTTCATCGGTGAAAAATCAAACAGTACCAGGTCTGGACAGAGTGAAATCTGAGCACCTGAAGAATCTTTCCTAGTCCTCATAAACACACCACGTCGGCTTTTAACACGTTAGCTGTCTGAATGAAAGGTCCCTATTCAATGAAGACCAGCAAGATCGTGCTATTGTTCAAGAAGGATGACCTCCACGGTATCGGCAACTACCACCCAATCCGTTTACTGTCCGTCGTCTATAAACTTTTCATTCGAGTCACAAGCAGAATTTCGAAAATGATTCAGTACGATAGACCACATCCACCGATGGCAATACTCATTGAAGTATCGCAAGAGTACATAAGAGGGCTGTGTCTCACTTTCATTGATTTGAAGAAGGCATTTGAGTCAACTGAGGTAGAATCAGTCATGGAAGCCCTGGACAGTTAGGTATTTCTTAGTCAATATATAAAGATTTTTCGTGAGCTGTATAAAAATTGCAAAACCAAGATGTCTCTATTCTGCAACGATATTAACATCGACGTTAAAAGAGGGATTAGGCAAGCGATACCATCTCGCCAAAATTATTTATCGCCACCCTTGAGAACGTCATGGGGACATTGGAATGGGATAATATGGGAGTGTAAATCGATGGTCGGCAATTAGACCATCTTCGCTTTACTGATGACGTCGTTCTTATAACACCAAACATTAGCCAAGCAGAACGAATGCTTTTGACTTTGATAAAGCTTGTGGAAAAGTCGGTCTTCGACTATGTCTCACAGAAACAACGTTTATGACGAACAGGTTGGTTACGTATGCCCCATTCATGCTCAGCGGAGCGAACATCTCCGAGTGCTCCAGTTACACCTATTTGGGTCGAGAAATAAACGTATGAACGACATAGCTCCAGAATTAGGCAGGGGAAACGAGCGGCTAGGGAAGCTTTCAACAGCATCGGGGTTATAGTGAAGAGAACAAAGAACACCGACTGCATGCCCACCGTTTCGACTTCTCGATTCTTCACGCCTTAACATATGCGTCAGAAACATGGTTGCTGATTTGTAGGATGGAGGACCATCCAGCGTCATTAAACACGCTGTCGAAAGGGCGATACTAGATCCTGTGTCGCAAAAATGAGTAGACCGATCCGAAGTTTGAACCTCCGTCAACGGGCAAAATTCAAAGATGTCGTTTTGTAAGCCAAACAGTGAAAGATGATGTGGGTTGGACATGTAATGCGTATGAACGACAACCGATGAATAAGAGCCGTTAGTGAGCAGATTCCTCTGGATTTCAAACGTAGTGGAAGAGGACCATCGACGCGATGTTCAGAGTTCTTCACGAAAAGCCTTGAAGAGAGGTATGATAGTTAACGAAACCCTAAAACGAGCAGAACCCATTGGTCTACTCCTGCGCGCGACCAGCCAGGAAAAACGGAAGATTTATTGCCCGCTTAAGTCACTCGATGGTCAACGGGACGACAGGTAATATATGTGATGCTGCGGTAAATGGTTTTGTGCCTATCTCTGAACCACTTATTACCTGGAACTGTAGTTCTCGAACTCGCCGTTCTTGTTTGCTCACGCCCTTGCTCGCATCTTGATAACGGCGCTGCTCAGCCTGATACTCTGCCGAAACCACTCGTACTTTTTCCTCGACTTTGCTCAACGCTTTTTCGCCGACTGAAATCTATCTTTATGTTATTTTAAAATACAACGCCCGACTTTCAAATATCGTGGCTGCAGCAACTGACGACCCCTAGTTTCATGTTGGTTATGGGCTTGCAGCGTTTTCGATAACTGTGATAGCTTCTAAATAGTAGAAGGATTTGAGGGGTTGAGAACAGGGCAAAACTATGGAGAAGACTTTTATATGATTTACCTTTTGTGGAGTTATTCATAGCATGAATGAATGAATGAATGATAGCATCCTCCCAACGGTTCACCGCCTCATCGTGGCTAGGAGGTGTTTCTGGGTGCGGGACTGCGATGTAGAGCAGGGGATTAATTCCCTGGCAGGGTCTCCCAAGCTGAGAATGAGTCTGGAGTTTTAATCAGGAAGCCTAGCTAAGAATAAACCAATGCCAGGATCCACCACCATCCAGGTATCAAAGTCGCACGGTGGTGGTAAATCTCTCTTTGATCCACAAGGACTGCGACTGCCTGTGGTGGTGAAGACCTGGAGTGGACTTTGCCCAGCCTGACCTTGAGACTCCAGGGACCATAATGGCCTAACCACCAGCAATTCTTCGAAAAATGGAGATTATGCTGGGGCCCGCCAGTGAGGACGGGCCATTCAAGTATTTAAGTATTCATAGTATATACGCAGCTGTTTTCTGTATGTCACTGTGGAGCAATATACAGCTACCTGGGCACCAGCATTTGGAAGGCTTTTGCAATTTTTTATGTTTAGTTTAGTACTTTTATAGTCGGGTATTCTATGTGAAAACCACGATTCGTTATAGTGTAGATTGGAATGAGATAACAATCAACCACTCAATGATTCACTCGGTTTTTTCTACATTAATGAATGTGGAGCGCATCATTTCACTACATACACTTGAGGGACACCTGTGATGGACGTGCTATCGATTCAGTATAAAAAAGGAGTAGAAGAGTTCTGATTTGCAAAATGTGAGTTCCGTCTCAAAAAAGGTGTACCTACATTGGAGCATTGCCCGTTCTGCTTCATCAATCTTTCCCTGAAGATCTTTGGCATTGATTTCAAGGCCTTTCCTTATACGGTCAACGTGAGCAGCATGTTCTTGTTCTTGCCGTACCTCCTCAGCCAAGCGCTCAGCATCGGCAGCCGCCTGGAATCAGGTTTGCTGCGTATTCTGATAGAAGCCTCGATATAGAATTCTCCTACCTTGCGTGCGCGTTCTTCGGAAACTTTCAACTCGTTGAGACAATCGTCGAGTTCATTCTGAAATTGCATCTTGACATTGACTAATTTTATGCAGTTCTAGCTTGATATTATTAAAGTCGTTTCTTGTACTTTTTGTATACCAAAAAACAAACGCGACTTACTCGAGCAATTTGTACTTCGTTCTCAATTTTGCGTTTCATGGCTGAGAGAGTTGCGTTGCTACCAATGAGCTCGGTGTTCTGCGATTTCAAGTCCGCCTGATCGAAATCCAGCTGACGCTTTGACTGAAGTAAAGGAACGCAGAGGCCTTTCCCAGTGAATTTGTGACTCGATTATTCCAAATTTTGACTCACAAACCAATTAGTGAACCCATGAATAAGTGAGCTCTGATCAGATTCCTTAGTAATTATGCAACTTCATATCTGTTTTACATTGTATTTGTTCAAATTAAACCCATTGACCCCCAAATGAGTGAGGTAAACAAAGCATCTAAACTAACTGATTAGAGCAACGTCATTACGTCTCGAAGGTTAATGTATGTGGGTTTTCATGAATGAACTCTATAAAGAGCTGCAAATGCACGGGTGTGAAATCATAATTCCCAAAATTACTTCTTTCTGAGAGAATTTTAACAGGATTACCTTCTTACGTAGAACGATGAAGTAACGTTTAAAACTTCTTGTGCCCAATAGGAAGTCCTTAATACCTTTTCTGCTGAGTTAATTCGTTGCGAAAGGTCTTCGGATTCGGCAAGTGCGATGGCTTGTTTTTGCTCGTTTTTGCTTGTCTAGATCAGCACGAGCTCGTTTCTCGCGTTCAAGGCCATCTTCAAGATCATCCAAAGTCTGCTCAAGCTTAGCTTTTACCTTGTTGGTGTGGTTCGATTTGTCCTCCTCGGATTGAAGGTCCTCCATTAATTTACGGTTGATTTCTTCCTGGTGTTTCTTTTCTTTGTTTAATTTTGCTATGGCCTCATCTTGTTGTTGCATTTCGTCCTGTAGTGAGCGGATTTGATGGTCTTTGGACTGTTTTTCTGACTCGGCTTTTCTCAAGCTCATTTCGAGGTCCTGGATTTGCTTCTTTAATGATTCTACTTCGGATTCAACTTTCTTCTTTGCACGTAGAACATCAGCGTTACGGTCTTCTTGATCGGCGAGGCGGTCGTTGAGTTCCTGAAAATAAACTAGTTCCACGAGTTGTTGGAGAGAAATTGAATATGTTACATTACATAAATTCCGTTACATTTCACTTACAGCTAGTTGTTTGTCAGCGTCTGTCTTAAGAGCTTGAAGTTTAGCTAGGCGCTCCTCAGCATCGGAAAGTTGTCCTTTGGTGTTCTCGAGGTTACTGAATAAATTATTTTTTTCTTCCAGTAGTTTAGTTGAGTTGTCTTCAAGTTCCTTGCGAAGCTTCTCCTCCTTTGCAAGACTTTCTTCGAGTTGCTTGACTTTTTCATTGATCTTCTCGAGTTCTTCGGCTTCCTTACCAGCTTTGAGAAGGGGCTTAACTTTTCCATACAACTTGAACCATTCCCACGTTCTAAGAGTGCACCATGAGCGGACATTCCTTTGGACGATTAACAGGCCCGCTCGTTGTTCCATGCGGCGTTTTCGATCAACTAGGCCAAGATACCAGCGGATTTGGGCTTGGAATCCAGTCATGATTACGGCAAGTTTCTCATCACGGAGATCTTCAAGGTGTGCTAGAACCCCTGCCTTGAAAAACACTTTTGTAAGACCGATACGGAACATCTCCTCTGTGATAGCACCATCGTTCACTAACTTTGACATGATTGCTTCAGCACACTTTTTCTTGTCTTCGTCTGACTTGGCCTCCTTCGCAGCGAGCAGCGCATAACGATGTACAAAGTCAGGGTGAAGAGTTCTGTTAGGAAAACCTTTGCGGCAAATACGGATACCTTCTAACACGCCGTTACAGGTGAGCTGATTGAGCACAAGGGCGGCATCAATGACACCAGAAGCTTTTTTCTCATTAGGAATGATACATCGGATGAAGTGGGGGTGCGTGCTGTTGAGCATGTTCATTAGGTTGTTGAGCGACTCTCGGTAAAGCATAGACACAGTCATGAAGGAACCAGACTTTCCTTTCTTCTTTCCACCACCGCCTCCTTCTGAAATTTATTTAGGTGAATTTCGAAAAAGGAAAATTTTGGTTTTCATAACGACTATTTGGTACATCCATATTGTTTTTTTAGGCAAAGCTACCTCACCTTTGGCTTTGGCAGCTGCTTCTTCTTGAGTAGTGTAGTCTTGCCAGACTTCCACGAGTAGGTCGTTGCCCTTTGAGGCTTTCATCACGGTGACAACGGTGTCGTTCAGTGGGTCTTTATTTTTCTCAAGCCAATTTGTAACGTTATATCTAACAGTTCCAGCATAGTGTCTCATGGCGAAGTGAGCTTCGGATTGCTTGCCTTTCGGTGGTTTCGGTTTCTCGAAATTTGGATGTTTTCCTAGATGTTGTTCATTCAGCTTCTGTGCTAGAGTCATGTCAGTAGCCTTCGGCACAATACACTCTTCATCCAGCATGGAAATGATACCCAGTGGCTGAAATACAAGACTGTGAAGACAATAAAATTGGCTAATATGTTAGACATGGCAGAGCAAATCAGTAAATGAAACACTAACCTTCTCGATCAGCTCTATACATGCTTGTAGATCGAGACCGAAGTCAATGAATGTCCACTGGATCCCTTCGCGTGCATACTCTTCTTGCTCCAAGACGAACATGTGGTGATTGAAGAATTGTTGCAGTTTCTCGTTTACGAAGTTGATCCAAAGTTGCTCGAAGGAGTTGAACTGAAGCTTATTTATTTCGTTTCGAACAAACTTGGAAACTTCTTCAATTNNNTATCATGTCATGCCATATCATATTGTTTTTGTTTTAACTATATGAGACTTTGCGTATTCTTGACGCAACTCCTATCGCGAATCCGGAGAAGAGGCAATTGCATGATAAAGAAACCCCCCCACCTCCTCCCCACTGTGTTAATATTGAGTGAGATAGTTGAACTGCGCATTGCAAGGAAAAATTTAGTCAAAAGTCTAGTCTCCCTGGAATTCATCCATAGTAGGTACACAGGCAGGATCTTATAATAAGACTTGGAATCCGACATCTAATTTCGTGCGGCTGTCGCATCTAATCGACTGTTTTTCCACCGCACACATTGTAAACTGGAATCAACTCATTTCCGACGTAACCTCTGCCCTACCGTGTACAAACCCTATATCCCCTTTCCCCTCAGCAACAATCTTTGTGCTACTCATAAACCGAAATGAGTTGATATCAACTTGATGCAATTCATGGAAAACCCTAAATATTGAGACATTCTTTTTTGAAAGATAGTTTATCTCAAAAAACTCACATCAAAAATTTCAAAGCCGGCTATATCCAACACACCAATGAAGAAATCACGATTGATTCCTTGCTGATCAAGTGTTAAGTTGCACTTCTTAACCAGCCAGTGGAATACGCGAGCGTAGAGTCCCTTAGTCATGGCCGCGATTGCCCAGTTGACTTGGTCGACATTTTGACCTTTTGAAACCCATTCTGTTCCAACTTTTACTCTCGGGGAAACAAGTGCTTTCAAAAATTTCTCAACATCAATCCCATACATAGCGGCAGCTTTTTCGGCGTCTTCCTGGCCATCTGGTTCTGCCTGCTCCTCGCGAGGACGTTGTTTGAATTTCATAGCCCCCATGTGCATATGAGCAGCCATAAGCCTATAGCAGTCCATCTTCTCTTGAGCCGAGAAATTCAAAATGTCAAATGCTTCATCAGTCAGTTGAAACTCTTCAGCGTCGTTAACGCCGTCAATAGTGAGTTCGGCTTGTGCAATGAAAAAGTAGTCTTTTAACGGTTTGTCTAATAGAAGTTGTTTTTTCAGTTCGGCTTTATAGTCAGAGAATAACTGGTAGAAAATATGGTAGCATCGTTCTCCGGGAGCTTGACGAATTACGCGAGATTTCTCTAGAAGGTAATGTTCTATGTCGCAAGATGCAAGCCGCCCTTGTTTCGAGAAATGGATTCGGATAAACTTTCCGAATCGAGACGAATTATTGTTTCTCACTGTCTTCGCGTTACCAAATGCTTCGAGCACCGGATTTGTCTGTACGATCTGATCCTCCAATGTGATCTTCTTCTCGTTACTGCTTGACTTTTCCTGTTGACTGGCACCAACACTTGCGAAATAGCAAATAACCTGAGAAGGATACATATAGTTAATGCAATTATTGTTACTGCAAAAGGAATAATGTTCATACTTTTTTCGTGTTTTCAGTTTTTCCTGCTCCAGATTCTCCAGTGATCAACATGGACTGGTTCTCGTGGTCTATGAGCATATTTCTATACGCTTCGTCGGAAACAGCGAACAAGTGCGGAGGCATTTCGGTTCTTCGTTTACCCATAAACATCTTCGCCACCGACTCAGTGTAGATTGGAAGACGTTTGTATGGATTGATTACAACACAGAAAAGACCGGAGTACGTCTGAATAGATTTTAAGTGGAAATAATCGCTTACTGCACTCCGCTTTTTCATAATTTACATTTTTTCTCCTCTTTCACTGCCTATTAATCTGCTACTGAATTTTTTTGTTTACAACCACTCCAACTTCTGTCTATCTCCACCACAAATTGGTCAGACCTTCTACTTGGGGAATAGCCATTGAAATAGGCGATTCAGCGGTTACATTGTTTGTTGATTAGAAAAAGTTAAGGTTTTCTTATTTTTCACTATCCAAAAATCACGTTCAAAAAGAAACAAAATAAATTGAAGTGTTAAATAAAGTAACAAATGTAAGGGACAAATAAGAAAAGAATGAAGCTCTCGGCGTCGATCCCGAAGGGAAGGAAAGCTTGGTAGGCCTGGGGCGCAGGGATCGATCTTATGTGTATTGCTGGGCACCTCCGACCACTGCGCTACACGCGTCCTTTAGAATGCGCATAAACTACATGATAGTGATCAGGAACGATATACGTAAATCATACGTAGTACATATATACATATATGTAATTTAAATATAAACGAATATAATAGTCAAGTAGAAGAACACCGAAAATATTTAGGCTCTCATTCAGTAACACGGCGTTTATTATTGCTAAATATTCTCTTTCCCACACTAGATCCGTCTTTTGATCTCATACAGGGATTTTTCTGCACGATGCGGATAACCAGTTGATGGAGAAGAGTGGGTGGGAGCAAACTTGAGGTGAGGACATTATTTGCTCGTCTCTCATCCGCCAAACTTCTCAGAACAATGCGGCAATCGACTCAATCAAATGTCACTCGACAAACTGTTGCTAGTTGTCCTCTATGTAGTTATTTGCCTTAGGAAATTCCCACATAACACTTAAAGAAGATACTTGCGAATCACACTTTTAACGAAGAAAAATCACTAGTTGGATATTTTTCCCAGGTAAGGAGAATGCATATCGTAAAACCATGGGACATAACGAATAGAGAAGTCAGCAAGACCAGAATAAAATGGAATATTCCCGAAAACTCCTGGAAAACACAAAGTGTATTTAATATTTATGCATTTCTGAGGACTCCAGTAGTTATACCACCTGTGGTTCCTTTGGCATGAGTGTTCCTAAGTAATGAATTGCGACGTCCAAAAGGAGACTCATCCAATTAGTAGGGTCATGTGATCGTCATTTTCATTGGGAAGCTTGGCTTAGAACGAAACTAAACCAGATGGATGAGTATTCGGCAAGATTTTTGATAGTTTAGTTTTGGCTTAAGAAGTTTACCGGCGTTGGCTCTGGCTGTTCGATAACAAGAGAAATCACAAATTTCATAGATGATTTTTGAGAATTGCGACGTTCTAACTAAGAATAAGAACGGCGATGAGATACTAACATTCTAGTTAGGCAAGAGAAAAGCAACCAGCTGTTGTGCATTCAGCTCCACAATTTCTCACTTACAAGCTAAACTATTGGTGCACTACTTCCCTGGTCCCGTGTTTGTGGAAATTATGTTTTGAAAGACAACTGGCTTCCTTCGATCCATGTGACGAAAATACAGCTACTTACGTAAATGAGCATGCTAGCATAGCGAGCACGGAGATTGTGCAGGACGGAGGCATCGTTGAGGAAAGTAAGGTTCGACATGTCTTCAGTTTTCTCAAACTTTGGCGGGTTCATCTCTTGCAAGAGATCCTTTCTCAGTGTTTCCTAAACTGTAACTCTGGTCGGAAAATTCTTGGATATTAATTGCGTCATAACAAACTTCATGGTCTCCCACTGTGACAACGACATCGTCACCCTTAGTGGACTTAATTTCTGCGGCAACATAGCCTTCGTCGACGTCCGGGATCCACACATTCTTCTTCGAGTCGTACGGTCGAGATTGATCCTAAGCGAAAAATAAGCAAAATAAAGGCCTGAAATTGTCCATCATAAAATTCTATTCTTTTATATTATTCTATTCTATTATTCTATATTCTTTATATTCTTTTATATTATTCTATTCTTTTTATTTCGGAAGTTCTCCTCAAATTTGGAACCCTTTTGTGATCCATAAGTTTGTTTTTATCTTTTCAAAAATGCAATAACTCACAGGAAGGAAATAGTTTAAAAAACCGATCCACTTGCCTGGAGAATTTGCTCCCTTGTTCGTCTCAGATATTGCCATCCGGGATCTTTTTCGTAGTCGGAGGCCATGCCGTTTGTCGTCGCTTGCGGTCCAGGTGACAGAAGTATTCCACTGAATGCATTTTCTTTTACACTTCATCACATCCGCGCAGGACCGCCCTCCACTCTTGAGATTCTGTTGGATGTTGTGTGGTGATGGTGGATTTATGTTGGCATAAGAGCACTGAACTAGCGCGCGATATCCATGCAGTCTTCGCGGCGCTCTATCACATCGAATTTTCGCCTCTTCGGTACCAATGAAAAAGCTGTCGGAGAAAATATCTGTGTGAATTGCACTGCAGGAAACGTTCTGTATGATATAAGTTTCTCTTTTTCATTGTGAGCCTTTTCTATTGCTAAGATGTCGAGGTGCTGTTCTCTAAGTGTAAAGAATTTGCTTCGAGTAGACGAAAAAGTCTTTAGTTGTCATTTAGTGAGAAAAAAATCATAATAGAATGAATGGGAAAGTAAAAGCAAATTTCACCTCAATGTGTAAGCACCAGGTAGTCTGTTTCAACTGATGGCGGAATTTCTTTGACTTCTTTCAACTGTTAGATGTAAGGACATCGTTGAATTTGAAGCAGCATTCATTGAAGTTGCTCCTATGGTAGTCCTCCAGCGGTGTTGCACGACTCGTCCCTTATCTCCAGGTAACACATTTCCAACTCGGAACTTCTTAAACTCTATCTCTATTGCTGTTTTAGTAGTTGTACAGTACCATCGGCCATTGTTAACATTTTGCACCTGTTTCTGTTTTTGCAGGGCCTAATTTAAAATCTCAAATCAGAACCGTTCCAAAACAACGTTGTTCGCGATATTGGAAAGGAATTCAAGTAGATAGAAAAAGAGATGAGAAAAAATTTAGAGGGTTGAATATAAAGGTTTGGGAGTTAGTGAATCTCTAAAGGATACGCCATCTATTCGACGTTATCCTTAGCATTGCAAAGGTGATTAAATGCTTATCTGGTCTATACAATGACTTTTGGTGGCTAACCGGTATATCAACTCAGTGTTTTTATCCTCACAGGCAAGTGTCGAATCAATTTACCGATTCCGCAAAAATGAACAGTTTACTGGGTCCGCCCAGAACGGCGTGCAGTTGAACCAGCGAACGATCTAGTGTGTACTGCAGAGCACTTCTAACCATTACACTAAACGTGACCTAACTTTATGGAAGCCGGTTTAAATTGTTACCAGAATAGTAGACATAGTACAAATGCTAAGTCTCGATAAGTGTCGACTTGCGCGACTAATCAATATGTATTTTTTCACTGATATATTAACACAGGGTTGATAAGAAACCTTATACGGTAGATGTTTTGGTTCCTTTGCCTTCTTCGGAACCGAATTGAACTGAGTGAGTTCTTCAGAGTTGTTCCTTCTTTCGTTGGGAGTTATGGGGATCTTCGTGATCGCGTCGAGTTGAACCCAGTAGAGCACCGCAAGAACGAAACAAACGATTGTCAATGGACAGTGAGTACCAACAACAGTTTTCTTTAAAACAGTGCTTCTAAGTGAGTCTCTTCATTCGAACGGTGCTCCACTGGATTCAACTTGAGGCAAATACGAAGTCCCTCGGAAGAATAATGTGCAACTTTGGACAATCGACTCAGTGCAACTAGCTCAGGCGAAAATGCCGAAACGCTGGTCGAATAAAGTTTTATTTAACACTCGCGTTTGCTCATAAATGAAAAGTACATGTGTTAATTAAGTTCTTTTCCTGGGATTCTATCGCCTGTCCGTACGATGCTTTGCTATTTGCATAGCATTACAGAGATCTTGTTAGAAGCACACGGGCGCTTTTTACTGTTTGAAAAATTGCTGTCAGGCCTTCAATCCGCCTCGTGTTTTCAATTTGTCATTCAGGGATATCTCTGCAATAAGCTACTTCTAGGAACACTTATTTAATATTCTGGTTGCAGCTCTGGAAGAGTATACTGTAACCATTTGCTCATTAAGCGTTAGCTCATAAAAACAGTAACGTATAGTATGGTTGGTTTAACGCATGGTTTGCTCCAAGATTAAAATAGGTCAATCTTGAGAACTATTGCTTCAGTGTTGAGAATTAAATCATTTATAATGCGAATCTCATAAGATTTCTGTCGTACGAAGGAAATCGTGAATATTAATTATCTATCTGGGGTACGTGTATCTATCTCATTGGTTAGGGGATCCTTGCACTACACGCTGGATTCGTCGCAGGTTCGTTTCTGCGCTCCACGTTCACCAAACTATCAATTCAACCAGCCTGTCTGGGATTTTCAAATTGGTGACAGACATCTTTGGGCACTTAAGTGGTGAATCACCGGTAGCCATCGTTAGTCGTGGATAAGCGAAACATGCATTCAATCATCTCATTCACATCTAACGATGCTTCGAATAGAATCGAATGCGTGGTGCACCCATCAGACGCTGCTGATCGACGCCGAGACTTATCGATTTACTGTTCAATTCAATTTCCTGTTGTGAATCCTTCGTTTTGTTTCGTATTCTTATTTATTACGCCATTATAGTATCAAAGTGAAGTAGTTATAGTTTATTGCAGCACAGTCATAGTTTGTAGTTATAGTATATTTGTTACACTATTGTAGCGCATAATAAAAAGATAAAAAAGGATAATGCTCTCGGTGTTAATCAATCCATGAGGGATACGCCATGCATTTGACTTCACTAAGCATCGTTGGAGGTGATTGAATGCATATCTGGCCTTTACAATACTCGCGGTGGCCCACCGATATATCGAGCTAGTGCTACTATTCTTCCAGACACAGACAAGTCTGGTACCAATTAGCCGACCGCGGAAGGATGGAATGCTTGCTGAGCCTAGGCCGCCGGGATCGATCCAATGTGTATTGCAGGTCGCCTCCGAACGCTACACCACACACGCCACTCGTAGCACATAGTATGCAATTTTATATTATTCATTATTGTACTATAATTTGTTTATTAGTTACATTGTATTTTTGGTATTTATTTATTTGATATTGTTTATTTTTTATTTTGTAAACATTAACCAAGTCCGTTTTGTATAAAGATAAATCCATCATTGGTGGTGTGGTTTATCGTCATAATTCGTGCTCGTGGATCGCTCAGTCTTGCTTAGCCTCAAACAGTGTTTCTAAGTGTAAAGCACTAAGTACTGATACCGTAAAAATATAGCATTATATGCGCTTCTATGTTTCAGAGAGGCTTGATGACTCAGTGGTATTAATGCCGTTAATTTCTAACTACGCCCTGGTTCGACTCCGCATTGGACCCACCCAGCCTCTATCCGTTTGGAGTTGAGGAATTGGTACCAGATTCTTCTGAGATCAGCTGGCTTTTCCAATCCACATGAGATGGCGCCTACTTGTGACGAATATATGGGAATGTCCTGGCACGTGTTCAAGGATTCGAGAAAGAATCAACTTGACCAGCATTCAACGATATTTGTGAAGAAACCCAAAAATCCTCGAGCATTAGTTGAGCCCACATCCAAAATCTGAGGACCTCAGTGGATAAACGTTGAGAGGAATCGAATGAAAACTGAGAAGTACTGAGGTCCGCATAGTAGATGTGAAAGACGGGTCGCGAAAAAATTTTTTGGGGTTTTTCTTCACATCCATCTTCGAACTTTCCGCATGTGGGTTAGGATGCTGCTTGAGGATTGTCTCGTTTTTTGTGAATGTCACTGAATGATGCTCCAGTCTCGAAACCGACCTTCCCTAAACCTCGGTGTGACTAATCAATATGTATTCTTTCTTGATAAGCTTGCACGAGGTTGATAAATATATTTATTTTCGACTCGGACCATCGACTCGGATCACCGGCTCTGAGGAAGACGAAGACGTCGAAACGTTAGCCGAAAATAAATATATTTATCAACCTCGTGCAAGCTTATCAAGAAAGAATACATATTGATGCTCCAGTCTGTTCTCTCTGCAGCTCTGGGATAGCCATGCTAGGGCGTCCCACTTGGACTACAGAGAGTGAGGAGTTTCCGTACAAGTCTGGTACCAATTTCCCGATCACAGAGTGATAACAGGCTTAGTGAGCTTGGTGTGGGAGCGAATCCGTACTGTGCTCGTGTTGACCGTGATGATAACAATACATCAGTGCCACTGCACTATGCTCCTTTGTCAAATAAGATTATGAAAAAACCACGTTCCACAATGGCGTAGTGAATAACAGTTACCTACTTGATTACTTGTATAGCTCGTCTTCATTGGTTGTGGGGCTCCAGCTTAATTTTCCCATTTTGTTGGTTTGGCCATTGTGGTTTTTTGGAGTCCCGAACTCAGCCACGCCAAAGTCTGCTTCAGGTTATCACCGCCATAAGCAGTCGCTGCCCTTGTGGATTGGAGGGAGATTTGCCACCGTGCGACTGTTTTGATACCCAAGCGGTGGTGATTCGTGATATTTATTCGCTCTTAGCTGGGATTCCTGATGGAAACGCCGGATTCCTTCTCAGCTTGGGAGACCCTGCCAAAGAATGAATCACCCGCTGTAGATGGTAGTCCAACACCCAGGAACACCTCCCAGTTACGACGACGCGGTGAAGCGTTGTGTGGAGCGAATAATGGATAGTAGCGAATAGTATGTGAATTACTTACCGGCTTCTTTAATGTTGTCAACATTTTGATTAATTTCTTTTTAAATTTTATATGACCCGTCTTCACGTCTACTGTGCAGATCCCAGCACTTCTCGCATTCGATTCATTTCCTTGCAACGATTATTCACGAGGACCTTCCAACCTTTACGTGTGGCGTCAACTACCGTTTGAGGATTTTCATTTCATCTTTAATGTGGCAGAGTGCTGGTTGAGTCGATTCTCCCTGGAATCCTGAGTTAGCCGGGTTGGAGCTTTCCCAGTTGGGTTGCAGAGAGTGTTTTTTTCGCGGAAATCCAGTACCAATTTCCCCAACCCGGAGGGATGAGAGGCTCGATTGGCTCGGAGCGGAATCGAACTAGCGCCGTGCTCGTGATAACGGAAATCACATTGTGCCATCCGCCCCTTTTTGGTTAATTAAGTAATCAAATAAAGAAAGCACAGTTGGTCGCTGTTTGCCTAGGTGACAGAATAACACTTGATTCCAACTTTTTTCGGTACCCTTGTGAACTTATGGCGAAGCAATCTTTCTCGAAGGCCCTATAAAAATTTTAGCCGCGCTCTTATTTATTCAGATATAACTTTGGCAATTAGGTAGCTTCTTTCCCTTTTTCTTCGTCCCTCTCCTCTTAGTTGAAACTTAGTTCGTTTTTTACCAAATGTAAAGAATTGGTGAAACTTCTTGGTAGCTCACCCAATGATTTGCTTCCTGGGAGCTGTTCCTGAGTGTCTGGCTGCGATGTTCAACGGGGTTGTTCATGCGTCCCGCAGGGCCTCCCAGCTGAGAAAGAGTCCGGTGTTTCTATTAGGAAGCCCAGCTATGAGCAAGCCAATACCGGGAACCACCATCGTCCTGGTATCAAACCAGTTCCATCATGGGAAATCTTCCGCTGATCCACAAGGGCGACGACTGCCTGTGGTTGTGACGTTCTGGTACACGCTTTAGTTAGATTGACCTCTGGACTGCAGGAAGCCACAATAACTAAACCAGGAAAACTCCGGAAAAGTGGAAACTATTCCGTGGCGCGCATAACCGGTGAAGAATAGCCATTCAATTATCTAAGTATCCAAGTGTCCAAGGTAGCTATAGGTGGCTTACCGTATTCGGCAAACCCTCAAATGTCCAGAGAAAGCCATACTCAAGAAATATTCCGTGTTAAGTTATAACAGATTATAAATTTTTTTAGCGAACTCGACCTCGAATATGGTGTAGATCTCAACACTTATTTCACTCAGTGTGTTGCGTTGTATCCGTCATCTATGAACGTCTGTGGAGTTGATTTTACTCAGAATGATGGTGTAGCTCTACAAGAGTGCTCTCAATCTTTAACACAGTAACTGCTGGGTTTTTTGAGTCTGACAGAGTTCTTCTGGGAAAAATCTAACACGGATTTCCCGACCTTGTGGGGATTATAGGGGAAACAATGAGCATGCGTTCACCATTGCATAACACGTATAACCACTGCGTCTTCCGCGCTTTTTTTATTATATGTTTAAATGGTAGACAAATTTGTGAGAAGATTAGGAAAAGTAGGAGTGGTTCTTTTGGGTGGAAACTTAGTTAATTATTAATAGCCGAACAACTTGCGTCAAAATGCCATTCACTTCGGAGATGCTTGATCTATCTCATTGGAAAAATTGGATTCCAGGGCTCCATCTCAATGGGCAGTTTTGGTGTTATATGTGCAGAGCAAGAGACAGCATTCACGGTATATCGTGCATGGATTCGTCAGATCCTCTTCCATTGATGTTCTGCCTAACTCGAGATTTTTTGACCTCTCACCGGTCATCTCACTGCCTTGAGTCATTGGCGGGACTACCCAGTGGGTGAGCTACTGAGCTAGATCACTGCTGGATAAGTTCTTTGTGGTTCTTTGTAATTCGAACGGTAACCCAGCTGGAGTCCATCCTTAGATGTTCACCACCATAGGCCTTGGCCAGCCCTCTTAGATCACAGAGAGATTGGCCACTTTGCGATTAATTTTGATACCAGGGCGACACTAATTTTTGGTATTGGCTTACTCTCAAATGTGGTACCGGATGAAAGTGTTGAACTCGTTCTCCGCTTGGGATGAACCCAGCGCTATATATTGCATCTAGGCACACCCTTGAGCACACCCAGCCACAATGTGGCGGCAATCCAGTAGAAGGTGCATTCTGTCGAAATTGTCTATGAAAATTTGCTTCAAGTGCAGTGCAACTTTCTTTCCAAGCCCATGGTGGCTAAGCAAGCATCACAAATTTCATGGTGAACGTAGCGCATACCCAAGAAGTTTGTAGTTTAGTGGAGGTGATGGATGCGGCACTTCGATAAAAATTCGCAGTGTCGACAATAACTTCAATATTTGAACCTTTTGAATGTATAAATTTATGCCTTGGTTTAGGAGAATTTTACTAGCTTATTCGAAGTATGGTAGAACATTCTGAGGTGTACCATATTTATTACATCAATTCAACGTATACCCAAGGAAACTCGTGAGATCACCGAATATCCAAGCATAATGTGTTAAACACAAGACTCGTTTTTAACCAAACAACGTCTGTTAATGAAGTTCCTACAAAAAGATCAAGATGTTCGATGAATACCGTAGTGGTCATGTGGCCAGATGTGAAGAATTAGTCTCAGTGGAATGTTTCTGACCCTACAATGTCAGGACGTGATGTCGATGGTTTGACGACGGATTCGACGCCGATTCAAGTTGTGTTTGATAATTGGTGTCGAAGTTGAGATCCTTTGAAAAGATTCTGGATACCTGTAAAGATACTAATAATCTGTATATGAGTAAATAACTAAAAGTATTACAATTACAATGGCATATTTGGAAGTTTTCAAACAGCGAGAACCTGTGTTCCTAGAAATTGATATCTTTCGACCTTTATCGAAATTACTTTTCTATTTTTGCTGTTTCCAGCTACCTTCTGAATACTCGCCTAACAAAGACCGTGCGGTTCATGCTTCACAAAAGGTTAGTAGATTAGACATGTTTTGCTTTCTACAGTCCTCATTGCAGTATATTCCTATGAATATAAAGAAGACAGAATCATTTTCGTATGGTTTGAAGTTGGTCTTTAGCTCATATCCGTTTTAGATACATGGAATATTCAACCGCTATCCTGACCTTTTCCCTTCATTCCCTACTTATACGACACCTACCTTCTTATCCAATTTTTTGTGCCACCGTAAACATTCGGTGGAAATGAGGATCGCATACAGCATGAGTAAGTGGCACCAGTAGTGTTTTGTTCCATATCGAAGTTGAGAAGCTCGCGAAAAGCCTAGAGAAAAGTCTGAAGATCGCCGTAATCAGATTAGAAAGCTCACCTACCTTTCTGAAATTGGGCATACCGTAGGCATAAATTAAAGGATTCAGGGCGCAACTCATGTGCGATAGCACTACCGCCCACAGCGTCGCATAAGCTATCGAGAACTCCGGCCAGAAGTAATCAATAGAGTTGATGACATATAGCGGATACCTGGAATGAACGTCTAATTTTCCCAAAACAACAAAAAAGAAACGCTTGCTAAATGTAGTGAAGTATTCTTAACAATGTCGCATAATAGGGGAGCAGGTAGCGCAGTGATTGTGGTCCTACTCATTACGCAGGCAGCTCAACTTACCTAGAATGCAGATTCGACCCTGCACTGGGATAACCAAGTTTCCCATTCCTTCGCAGTGGAAATAGGTACCAGACTTGTCTGGTAGCTTGTAATCTACGTGGGAAGGTCTTAGCGTGGTTATCTCGGAGTTACAGATGCATGAGAATCCAGATTTCCACCTGATGTCTTCTCTAATCTCTAGCGAAGCATTCAAGCATATTCGTGACGAAGACCCAAAAATGCTCAAAAAGCACCTAAATCCACAAACATGGAAGTTCGAAGACCTTCATGGATAGCGGATACGAGGGAGCAATTCCAGTGCAAGAAGTACCAGTATCTGCGCAGTGTGATGCATATGGTGTTGCACTATATATTGAAAAGTAATAAAAATCTCCTACGTTTCTTAGCATAAGTAATTAGCGTTATACGAATCCAGATTCCCATCTGATGTCTTCCTGAATCTCTAGTGAAGCTCAGTTTTTCCAGAAAAGTGCACCGCTCTATTGAGTATCTTCCAAATGTTCATTTTTGTGCAAACAATGATGCTGAGATATTTGCAAAACTCCGGATCGCAAGGTGTCTGTAGTGGCGACCGAACACACTATTAGCCTTTCCGGGAGCTAACGTGTTCATCACTTCACCATGAGGGTCCTTCGCGTGTTGCTGATAGCACCTATAGGAAGGATAAGAGCACAGCTGAGCGAAAGGCGAAACGAAGGACCCACATGGTGTGTTGGTGAACGCATTAACCTCGGTAAAGGGTAATAGCACGTTCGACCCCTACAGCAAACACCTGCAGTCCGGGGTTTTGAAAATATTTCAGCATCATTGTAGTTATATTGCACATCATGCCCTGCCATGAAAAAAGTCTAGGAAGCAAAAAAAAATTGTGTTGCATTACTCATTTTGAGTTCAACGAAAGCAATAGTTGATTCATATTCCTAGTGATTCTGCGCAATAATGAAATTAGATTTTCACCACATCGTTGACAGTTTGTGCAAAACTATTCAAAAATATAATCGTAATGATGCTGAGATATTTGCAAAGCTCTAGACCGCTGGTATCTGAGGTGGATAGCCAACACGCTATTTCCCTTTCCAGGTGCTAACGCGTTCATCACTATTTATTTACTGCCCACTCTGTTTAAAAGCAATGTATTGTATGAAATATAACCATAATCACGCTGAATGATTTGCAAAACTCTAGTACGCTGGTGTCCGGATTGGAACCGAGCAAACTATTCCTCTTTACGGACGCTAACACGTTCACCACCACGCCATGCGAATCCGTCTTTTCGCCTTTCTGTCAGCCGTAATATCCTGCCATTAAAAAAGTGTGGGCAGTAAATAAAAAAGTGACGACATATTCAAAAATAGTTGCCAAAAACAACGCTGCATAGGCATTAAAACAAGGCTGACAGCTTCACCCACTTCTCAAATGTTTCTCTACCAAATCTTTCCACAGCAAAGGTGGGAATGTTGACCTCTGATTACATTCTGTTAGAACTTATGAAAATTATTTCCGTTTTGCTAAATCCAATGTCTGAAGCCAGGAAGACGAGTACTGAATTTATTCCGAAGTCATCCGGTAGCCACAAAACGAATTTTCGTATCTAACAGACCAAGAGAAACGAAGTAATTGTGTACCGACAACGTACTGGAGTATGACTCCAGCCATCAAGTAGTGCTGTGAATGCACCCCGGCTTTTCTTAGTTACTCTAAAAGCTTCACCTTTGAAATTAAGTCAGAATAGAAATATCTGTACTTCGAAGCACGTATGCCCAAGGTTATAGATGGAGTTTGTTCGCCGTTGTGTTTTAAGTGTCAGCAGTGTTAAGTGAAAGGCTTCTATGACGACAATTGCGATACATCCTAGGCTCTTGAATGAATTAACAAATATTTTCAGTCTAATTCTGCTCTAGTGTATTGAATGCCTCAGTGTCTCGCGGACGCACGAATGGATATGATTAGAAGGAAGAACTTAAATGTTATCACGCTAAGTAATTTCCATTACAATGGCACAAGCTTGGCGAGGCTTTTACTACACGTTGGTAACCGATTTGTCTGCTACATTCGCGTCCGCATCCTTTGATTCAAATTTAAACGTTTGGGAGTGGATTGATTCTAAGATGCAGACTGTTTTTAATGAGAAAGGTCTTTGATATTCCTTTTTTTTCTGAAGTGTGCGTGGGGGGATGGCACGGGTTACGTTCAATACACAAAGCGCCAGCGAAGATATAGACTCAATCTCACGTGAGCGTCCCTTCAAAGAGGATTAGCTGTGGTCACTGATATGTTGGTAAACATCTAACTTTTTTAATGAAATCTTTTTTTGATATGGTCATTGATGTACTATTTTACACTAGAATGATATGGAAAGAACTGCTTGAACGATGTAGTCATTACACTCGGCGCTGGTGAAGCACAAATGTGGCACACCTTAGCAACAGTTCAGGATCCTTATGAACAACTCTTGTGCCTTATAAAGTAGACCAAATTGATTCCAAAGTTGGAAATAAAGCAAGGGCTTCAAAGTATAATTAGCTGCAGTCTACCTTTATTTGTAACTTTGGTGCAATTTAGTTGCAAATACTACTTTTGTAATTACAAGTCACGATGTACTACTAGTACACCGGAACTATTTTGCCACACATATCTCTTTTATGAGCAATACCTTTTCATACTGAAGTTCTATTAAAGTCTCTGTCATAATAAGGGATTATCTGAAGACAACATAGACAGTAGATGAGATATCCTGGTGGCTCAATGGGAAAGGGGTTAGTTCCACTCGTGGCTCGATGATTCAAAAAACGCGTATAAATAAGAAATGAGGAAGACCAACAAAAACGAGAAAACCTTCCTTAGTTTGTCTCCATGATGAGCAACCGTTAGCAGAAAAATCCTCACCAGCATATGCCGTAGGATGTTACAAGTATGAGTAGTGTACGAATCAATTTTCGCCGACCCTGAATTCTACGATCTTGTTCGCTCTTCATCAGCAAGGATACGACCTGAAATGCTATTTGTGATCTTCGATAACCGTCTGTTCTATACTTACTTGGCCACATCTGTTCTACCTCTGGACCATGTACTCTTTTAAACAATGGAGAAAGCTCTATTGTACTTATGGGAAAAGGATAAAGGATAGAATGTTTTGGGTTTAATCTGAGCGATATCTCATGATTTTGACTTAATTTGTAACATCGTTGAAGCGATGGGATGCACCCATACAATGACATGCGGTGGCCTACTGATATGTTAAATCAGTGTTGCTACCCTTTCAGACAAGTTTGGTACCAAATTTCCGACCCCGAATAAGTGGACAACTTTGTTTGCCCGCGACGCGGTATCGAACCAGTAATCTTTCGTGTACTAAGGTTCATCTTTAAGCACCAAGCTACACCCACTTGCTGTCGCTATGTGAGGAGTAATAATTCTAGTATTTCTAATTTAATATTAATAGGATTCTGAAACAAAGTACCATTTTAACATCGCTGAAATTATTTACCTGGTTTTGTTCCTTCCTTATTCGTCTGTAAATTCTCATATAACAGATGATAATAAGAAATGTAGGCGCTACTATGGTACACATAAAAATAACATAGACAAGATAGCGATAGTCGACAACTATTGTGAATTGGCACTGGTCTCCGAAAGCATGGAATGCGAATTCAGTCCTGAAAAAACACTGCATATCGAGAACATCATTTGAAGGAACATTCCTCATTCAGTGGACCTGACAGTGTTCAGGAAACATATGACCACTGATCCGAATAAACCTAGAATTTTCAAAACTCGTGAAATTCTCTCAGTCACTCAAATTGACTTTACCGATTCACTTCTCGATAAAGATATTCGTGGGCTTAATGTGGGTTAGGTGTTCATTATAATTTTACCCTTCCTAATACCTTTAACCGACAATAAACAAGCAATGATACATAATAAACTCTATGATCTGTGTCTACAGAGCGTATCCATAAAATCTTCAACTCTATCTCACCAGCGCATTGAGTTCGCTTGTGTGAGGAAAATCACGCTTTCGTTACGCTGGTCTTCTTCTTCTGGAACTCTTGATAGAAAGTTAGCTATAGTGAACTCTCCATGTCATAAGTTTGCCTTTGTGTGGGTTTTCGGATACAAAGAACTCCAATGATTAGAACCATTCCTGGGTGGGGTATTCGGCTTTAAGGTATCACCCATCTAGGACGAGGAAGCAAATGTTTGAGAAGCGGTAGCAAATATGACATGAAACTTGAATAGGGATACAATCACAAGTATTATATAGCTTAATGGTTGCTACCTCCAATCAATAATGAGTTGCGTTCATAAAGTAAAAGTGTTTTCTTCGGATAAAAGTCAATTATAGTTTGCAAAACTGCGGACCGCAGGTGTATGCGGTGGGGAACGAAAGCACTATTGTCTTTTCTGGGGAGTTACGCGTTCACCACTACACCATGCGGGTCCTTCGTTCCGCCTGTCTCTCAGCTACTTCTGTCGATCCTTGCCACGGCAATCACCCGTCAGCGGGATTGATCCGGGGGCCCAAATCGGCAACGAACCCATATCTCAGCATCATTGAAGTTATATTTCGCAATATACTCTGCCATTATAAAAAAGAGTAGGCGGATATGAAGTATTTTCCGTTATTATGCAACTGCCAATATCGGAGGAATTACTTCTTCTTCTGGTATATGTGAGTGCTCGCTTGAGCAGAAAGTGGGTATTTCCGATGGACGACGATTAGAGAGTAATTGCAATCCATCGACTAAATCAACAACTTATATAATGCTGAGTCAACATAACTCAACAACATCAGGAAGATTTGTGGCCATCGAAGTTTGTGGTTCACTTCATCCTATTCTAATTAATCACAGGAAGAAGCGAAAAAAAAAACGCATGTGAGGAGAAGAATATGCGGAGGCTGTCAGCAAATAACTTTTAAAATTCGTAGGAAGGTTCTTGGAATAAAAAGAATAAAAAGAACTTTGTTAAAGCAGATTTTCCATGTTATTCCCAAAAAGGTGGAAGACTACTTTCGTTCAGGTTAAAAAGGAAATGAATATTTTAGATCTCTTGAGTTAACTAGAATGTGAATATCCGAAGCAAGCCTCGTTTGGACTGGACTCTGACCAGCAGAAAAGTCAATTAGAACGACTGATCAGATACCGTGTCATCCTAGTAGAAGATATAAAACACCTAGCTCTGCATGTCTGAAACAATCATTAAAACCTTTCCTGTCATCAGACAACTTTGAATTTACGATAAATTACCCATTCTCTTTCTTTTTACCTGAAAAACCCATCCAGACGGAAATATTGCAGACTTTAGAATTTATGCTACAAATGACTTGGGAAATGGATGACTTCGTTGAACTTTCAGAAATTCGTTTTCCAGAAAGGACTGGATCGTGGAAGTGAACGAGGAAATGCGCCTCCTTCTAGGCTTGAAGCGTTTCACACCCGAAAGAGAACAATTTCCGGTCTTAGATGACTTGGTGGATTTCCAATCGTCAAAATATCTATTTTTTTAAATTAAATCGTATAATGGCGTGCAAGTTAATCAAAGAAGCTTCTCTTAAATTTCAGAAAACTTTCTCCATTTTCCATCATGAACGCTTTTCTTCAGTAAGTGTTTCAAAAATTATGACGGAGTTTGTCGTTATAACGGAGTTACGAACACATCTTGTAAACAGAAAGCCATTGCTCTATTACTTTTCAAAACCTGTTTACTACCTATACATCATCTACTTAATACGTTTGCAATATTTAATTAAACTAACGTGTTGATACACCACCGTGGAAGTAACCCAAAATCTTGAATAGCACAGAGACAGGGAAGGGTTTTAGAACACACATTTAGCAGACCTTTGACAAAGTTGTGAAAGGAGGTTTGAGTTTGGCTGACTTAGAAGGCCGAAGGCATCCACTAGCTGCTGAGAACAATGTGAAAACATCCATCTGAATGCCTCACTCGAACTGACCTTCTGGAAACTTTATGAGAAGTCGGAAAACAACTCAACGTTAGCAATCCACAACTAATCGTCATTTGAAAGACATCTGATAGCTGAGACAGCTCAATGTGGCACGTGAATTCAACGGAGAGCGAGGAGATAATAGTTTGGAAGTCTGTTTTCCGATTCTTCCAAGCATCTCTCGATTGTCTAATGACTACATTGAAAAGTGGATTCAACACAAAGACAACCGATGAGGTTCAGCGCAGTGGCTAAACTGCGATGAAATATCTAAACAATTTCCAAAGACAAATTTGGACCACGAGGATGTTGCGGTGAGAACTTGGCAGCTTGCAGCGAATCGATCCATCCCAACATTGAATGGTTATGAAATAATGGCGACAGAAAAATGCTGTGATAAAGCTGATGAAACGCAAATAAATGTGTGTGTGCTCCCTGAACTCCTCTACAGAAATAGCCCGGTTCTTTTGCACGACAAAACTTAACCGCACGTTGCACAATTAGCTCTGTAGAAGTTGAACTAATTGGGCTACGAACACAGCCTCGTTCGGAATACTTATTAGATCTCTTGCCATCGACCACCACCCTTCAAGCGCCTCTACCATTACTTCCATAGAGTAAACCTCAGTAAATATTAGTCACTTTTAGAACTTCAAAATTCTACGTTGCCAGATATGTCCGAATACAGACAATTCCTGTTGGTGAAAGATATAGAAAGATATAGATTTTAATAGCTGCTGGTTTGGAAGTAAAGTTACTTTTAAGCAGAACTACAGCATTTCAAAGTTTCTCGTGCTAAATTCTCCATCACTTTTGAATCAATTCAGTAGTCGACCTCTAGACCCGTGGACTGTTCCTTTTCGCACCGCCGTATCACCTAAATATATGTACTAAGAAACAGGCGAAACGAAGGGTCTGTTTAGCGTTGTGGTGAACGCGTTAACCCCCGGAAAGGGTAACAGCACGTTAGTTTTCCATTGCAGACACCTGCGGTCCGGAGTTTTGCAAATATCTCACCATCAGTGCGGTTGTGTCACACTAAATATGATTCTTCTCATCTCAAGCGGTGTTCCTTGTGTGAGCTATATAAGAGCTATATTGTATCTCGAATGTGAAGCATGCCACCATTGAGATATTCTTATCGACTAGGTGGCTGAGAAAACCGATTAACTGAGCAACATTGTGGCTACATTAAAACAATCTTATTATGCTTTGAAATTTGATTTCGAGACATATTCGGCCTTCCAACGGTTTACCGCCTCGTCTTGGCTGGGAGGTGTTCCTGGGTGTCGGACTGCGATGTACAGCGGGGGATTAGTCCACCCGGCAGGGTCTCCCAAGCTGAGAAGGAGTCCGCGTTTTCCATGAGGAAGCTCAGCTAAGAGTAAACCAACACCAGGGCCCACCACCGTCCTGGTATCAAAGTTGTATGGTGGTAAATCCACCTCTGATCCACAAGGGCTGCCACTGCCTGTCGTGGTGACCACCTGGGACAGATTTTGGCCAGGCTATCCTCGGGATTCCAGAGAACTACAATGGTTTAACCGAAAATCTCCGAAAAATGGTGATTATGCATGCTGGGGTCCGCGCAACTAGTGATGACGGGCCGTTCAAGTATCAAGTATCAAGTAAGACCTATTTGGCTTACTGCGTTGTAGACAACTAGATTAAGAACTGATATTAAGTAATATTGAACTCGTGTTTTGCACTTTAGGCCGCACAAGTATGTAGTAATAAAATTTATTGTGCTGTGAGGATAAACAGATGTGCCGCTGACATCACCAATGAGAGCAACAATCCATCTGGGGCTGAGGAATTACTAGCACACTCGTCTACGAAAGAATTCATGGCACCTTACTGCGCTTAACGAATGCCGACAATTTCTCCCAATCTCTATAACCCCTCGAGAATCCGTTGAAAAGTTTTCTGGAAGTGTTAGGTGCTAAATCGAAAACTGTATCTTAGGAGCTTAGGAGACGCTAGGTGTGTGAAACATTCATAATAGAATTCAAATAATAAATAAACAAACTCTGCAAATCCGAATGCATTGAATAGTGGTAAGATGGCGACTACTGAGCCGGCTATCCACGACAAAGTGACGAGAAAAATGGCTCGAGTACGCCTGAAAGTAACAAATCTCTAACCCCAAGGCTAAAAAAGTCTTTGAATTTTTTTTACTTATGATGTTTGAAGTATAGGATAAGTTCTACAGGAGCCAGCGCACGATCGACTCGGAGAAGTTAGTTCAAAGATTAAGCTATCGCTAGCATACTAGAGTTCTTCGAAACTGCATGCCTTCTTGAAAATCCACCTTGTAGTCTTGGTAGTGCACTCGAAACTGGAAGCGCAGCACAAGATCCCAAATTCATCTTCACTTTACAGTTTTCGATTGCTTCGACAGTGCTAAACGATTATATGGGCCGTGCTTACAGTTCACAAGATCATCAATTTTCAAAAAAGCGTAATATCTTCGATGAAAGATAAAAGATAAAGCTCTCGAAGTTGATCAACCTATGAGAGATGCGCCATGTAATCGACTTCACTAAGCACCGTTAAAGGTGACTGAATGCATGTCTGGTCTTAACAAGGACTCGCGGCTACTTATCGATGTGTCGAGCCAGTACTAATAGAACTAATACGGTAGCCTCCAATGAGTGTATTTAAAAAGGTGGATTTTGAACCACCGTTAGAAATCACAGGTTATAGATATACATATATATATATATATATTTTGTTCTGTCTCACTTTTACTGACTTAGAAAAAGGCCTTTTACTGAAATGAGATAGAAGGAGTCACGGAAGGTCTGGACTGTCAGGGCGTTCCTTCTCTAAATAGAAAGTTTTTTTCGTCAACTGTGTATAAATTTATAAATTTCAAAACCACACTACCATTGTTCTATGACGATGTTAACACCGATATAAATCAAAATGTTCGACAAGGCAAAACCATCTCTCCAAAACTACTTAAACTACTTAAATACATCTTCGCATGAGAAAGTCACGCGAAAATTTAACAAGGAGAGAGTTAAAGTCAATGGTGAGCGTTTATGTCATCTTCTCTTCGTTGATGACATCGTTTCTACAACATCACGCATTACTAAGGCGAAATTAAGCCTTGCCAGTGTGGACAAAGGTACAGGAAAAATTCGTCATGGAATACTCCAGCTTCGCACACTTAGACGGGAGAGCTAACCTGATAAAATGCTGCTTGGAGTGCCGTTTATCACAAAAGTGAGGTAGGCAATCAGAAATTCTACATCAAAGAGCTCAGGACGTTTCTATGTACCCAAAAAGTTAAAACATGAGTTTGGAAATATGATATGCTTTGGAAAAACTGGTGGGCAGGAGCCGAGTAGCTCGTCAGGGATGTCTAGCAGCGTGAAACAAGAAAATCACCGATGAGTTACTCAACAGTATTCTTTCGTCTCTTAACAAAAGATTTGTTGTTTTAGGTAAGAAACGATAACACCTACTTAGCAATAAACACAAGTGAAAATCTTCAATGTATGAATCAGATAAATACGCTAACTATCGTTTCGAGATGAGCACGAGTAAACGACGGAGCTGACGTTCAATATTTAATGATTACCGTCCCCTACCACCTTCAAATATGATAAAACCTTCCAAAAGTCCATAATAGTTTTAACTCCAAAACCTCAGCGCTTCTTTTAGTCTTATTAATTTCTAAAGCGTTTGAAGATTGTTTATACTTTTTTCAAATTTTGTTTCAGCAAAGTTTTTTTTTCAATTAACAGAGTGGGTGAATGCCTTTTGTGATAAATGAGGAACGTCTTGGCACAGCTGTTCGGCGATTCAAATGGAAGACCGCCTTCAGCTGGCATTTCACTCGTCAGTGAGGATCAAATACTAAGAATCCTGTTAACAATGATTGTATGAGAAGCAATCGAGATGAGAAGGTGCTAGCGCCAGCACGTTATGGGTCTTCTAATTATCTTAAGTGGGTTATATGTATGAGTTTTGATCACCGTTATATCAGATATTGTGTAGGAAAAGCAGTGGGAAGCCTCTGCAAAAAGTCGAGAATAACCGACTGGCTTCTAAATTTGAGAGCTTCAACGATTGTTTAGAAGAAATAAAATGGCTATGTTTATAAAAAATCACCTTGAGCGGAAGAACTGCTTATGACAACAAATTGTCACATACTTGTCGAATGCAATTGCTAGCATATGAAATGTCGAAATGGTACATAGAATACAAAGAATAAGATGCACCAGTAGGCATCCGTGAAAGGAATGTGGTCGCTGAGTGAGTACAGAAATTACAGTAATGGGAATGCCCAGACTACCTGAAAATCTGGGTCCGTGAAATATTCCAACATACTTTTCAGCAGTCCAATAATTCTCATAAACTCACCAGTTAAAAAATCCGTTACTGCTAAAGAGAAAATATAGGAGTTGGTGACGGTTCTGAGATACTTCTTTCGAATGTACACGTACAAGATGAGAAGATTGGAAAGTGAAATGTGTATAGAAAGAAGCAGCTCGGCTATAGCATACGCCAACAGATCGTTCATATCAACCAAATCGTTGCCGCACCTCTTCAGCTAGGTGAGAGACATGATTAAGATAATGATGTGATTGCTGGCTTCTCGTCAGATTTCTCAACAGACAGCAAGTGTAGAGCGTTAGAAAAAAGACGTTCACAAACAGAACGGATTCAGCAGTTGCAATAAGGAGAAATTTGACTAGGCTTACAACTAGTGGGAAGGATTCTATCAGCAAGCCGTGGTCATTGCAAAAGAATCACGGGAAATCTAAGTGTGAAATGTAAATGTGTATACATAACCTAATAAAAAGTAAGTAACATATAGTATATACATAACATATACCAATAATATTTACTTCTCCGCCTCACTGTATCAAAAAATTCGAAACTACATAGACATTTCTTTAAGTATTAACACCGTTCATTTATAAGCACAAGGCCCGGCGATCCAACAAAGGTGTTTTGGCTATGCTTGGTTGGGCTTTGGAAAGAATTTCACGGAAAAGGGCACGAAAAATGGCCGTGGTTCTCGATAGTTCTAGAACTTCTACTTAGACGCTGGCGGTTGGACATGAGATGGCGGTGCTCGTTGCGTTCAAAACCTACCAACTCCCATTTTCCTGTTCAAAAAATCCTGTATATTCAAGTGTTTTGTTGTAGAAATGAGTAAGTGGACCCTATAGAGGACTCTAATTGCCAGCGTCAAACGCAACTAGCTCTCATTTTCTTCATTAAGACTCCAAAAACGAAAAGAAAACGCTGCCCGTTCTCTCCATTTACTATATTATGAGTAATTTTAAGTTCGTCGTTTAAGTAGCAATGGGGATTTTTATCAGATATTTTGAGATCAATTTCAAAGCTTATCAATGTTGAGCTGTGCTTGACTAGCGTACCCCTCACTCTGATAACGCCTCTCAGTTAGTAAATTCTTCCACAACGAGGTTTGGCAGACAGGTTCTGACGACAATTAAGCGACATGAGCTCATTCCCTCCTGGATCGATTGCACAACAGCTTTGCACCTTTTCCAATCTTCTTCGTATAGCAGATTACTGAAATAAAGCCTTTCTGGAAAACCTTTACTGGCGAATAGGGCAGGGAAACGAATCTTTTCTTTTGCGCTAAGCATGAACCCATCACATAATATTTCAGCTTCTTCTAGTCGGATCCTTCCAAATTTTTGAAAGGCTTGCTTTACGGGTATGTCTTAACTGGAATCGGTATTTGTTCACTCAACCTGATTTATAACATGACAACATTAACTCATTCAAATAGAAAGGAGTGAGAAAGAGTGGATTTAGGGATCATGTTGCTTCATTACAGCAGCCAAGAATATCATATGAGTACTGGAGTCAAACATCTTTTTAAAAATGCAGTAAATTACAAAAGAGTAAAGCGTTCGGTGTTGATTAATTCCTTAGAAAAGCGACATGCATTCATCTATAGTGGTAGCATCCGAAGGGTGACTAAATCCCGCCCTCATAATGACTTTCGGTAGCTAACCGATGTATCATGCCGGTGCCGCTACCACTAAGGATGACACGTGTACGGCACGGCACCATTAACTATTGCACTAAACGCGGCCTTCGGTAATTTCCAGTGCAGTGTTCGCTTCCTAGTTCCACATTGTATTCTTTATAGCTGCCTTAAAGTGCGTATGTAATACCTGATTACCTACCTGAATAGCCTGATTTTTTCAGGTTTGAAAGACAACTTTAAAACATTTATGCCCAAAAATCAGCAGAGAATTGCACAGAAAGCTATGTGAGGAAGGGTAGACAAAAATAATTCAGATTTAAAAAGCAATACACCATAACTGCGTAGCAACCATGGCGGCCGGCTAAGTAACGTACTTCCGATGGGATTTTATCCCAACATTACTGCGATGAAAGATCATAAGTCTGAACACAGCAAAACTTCGAATTGACGCTCTACGTAGACGGACGACGAGATCACAATGTTTAAGTCGTACTTACTGCTTATTATTTTTTCAATGGTTGGATACTGAAGTACAACCACTATGATGGTGAGTTATGAGCAAAACTCGTAGCCCCGGTTGCTCTTCGAACCCGCAACTACCCTTTGCATGGGCTCACATGTATGACGAGATCGGCATGTACACCGGACCAAAACGAGAACGGAAATAAACGAGTAGATAAGGATTTCGTAGTGGAACTCAGAGCAAGTGCTAAAAGTGGCAGATAACCGTTGAAAATGAAAGTTTAGTAGAGTACTTCAACTACAATTGGGCTCATGGTCATATAATGTAGCATAAGCGCAACGAATTTTTTTTAAGAAAAGCAGCTCAGGTCCATGTCTGACGCCAAGAAGACGAAAGCTTGCAGCTGGGGAATATTGGAGCGCTCGAGAATCATGAATGTTGGTTCCGAGCGTCTTCGTGCAAGAACCATATTAGGTTCGACGAAAACGTTCGTTGTAGAAGGAAACGAATCGGAGCTGTGTTATTGAAATATCTAATTTATGAAGCGCGTATCAAAAAAGTCATTGGTTAACTTTTCTAATTAAATGAAATAAGAACTGCAACGTAGTCTTTAAAATTGGCGATATCACGAAAATATGAACTTTTGCATACTTAGCTTTCCATCATTTTCTGGGACACTGAGCCAACTGATGTTCCTGTAGGATCGCGACGGGATTCGGAAAGCGGTGGCTTATAGCAGCTCTTCTTCGCCTGGGAAACATAAGATAAATATCGAAGAATTAAATCAAAGATTGGTAAGAGTTCCTACTTCCAACATGGTTTCCGATAAAAATGACGAACGTCTCTTTCCCAAGAGGCGATATGGTGCGGAAGCAAATCACATCAGTCGGAGGCTTTTTGGGCTTAATTCTTACCACTATTCATTTTATCATGCAGTAAAATGCCCATCAGTAAGAATTATTTGAACTTTTTTGCTGGTTATCTGAGAATGTAAAAAAGATGGGGAAATTAAGTTTATGCTGAAAGGACGAATGTTGAAGATGGTAGAGGAAAGGGAGGAGTCCAATCAAACTCAGTTCTCGCATAAGTACAGCACTAAGAACGCGATGTGAAGATGATATTCCGAACTTCAGACCTATAAGGCATCTCAGAATACCTTTAAGCCATGCGGTTTTTTCGTCCAAGGGTTTGTTCTCTCGAATATGCCCGGTTTTGGAAGACATTCGGTTCCAAAACAATATTTCTGTTTACAATAAAGCACAAATTGGTACGTCAATGAGATCTACCGAAGAATTGACTGAGCATCAAATTAACCGCATTGAAAAACACACCAAATGACTGTTGAAAAAAACTTCTTATTGGGAAGTTTTCACTCAGCGATGAGAAATTCAATAATGATTAGGCCATGACTTTAGTTATGACATTTTTTACCGTAAAATATACCCTAAACGACGAAACCGTTGCTTAACATTATTTCTTCTCAAGGAGTCCACTTCTTAAGGAATAAGTTCTTTTCGCACTTTAGGGTAAAATCTGAGAATCGTTAGTTTCACTAATCTACTGATAAGCTCAAATTTTCTCCAATTATTCAGCTTCACGAAGAAAACTAAGCTAAGCAAGGAAGTTTCGCTAACAATTCTTTGACGTAAAATCCCTCATTAATTTTCATAAAGTGCATTATCATTAGGACAGATTAAGGCAAAAACAACTGCGATTTCAAAAAAGTTTCAAAACGTTATAATTTATTTTAAAATCACAGTACGAATAAAAACTCGTGATATCTATACCATTTAATCAAAGAGACAGCAAGCTTATCACTTTCTATAGATTGGAGTTCGAAACATCTGAAAGAGAAGAATTGTTTGATGAGATTTTCAGCAGCGGCTTAATATTTGAAAATTTTTCTTGGAAAGTAATCTTCGAAGACCTTAAGAAAGTGTTAGTCGATTGAAGAGAGGTCCGATAACCGGGCTGGATAAGGTGGAGTTTCACAAGCAGACACGTTCAAAGCATGCAGCCCTAGTTGTGCTACGTGTGGTTGAGGGTTCTTGTGCAAAAGTAAAAACCCTTCATATATGCAAATATGCTTCAATTTTTTGAAACATTTTTGTCTCTTGATGGTAATACTCTGTGCCCGGATTGTTTTGTGTCTTCCCCGGTATGCCCAACTGTGAACACATAAGACGAAGCAGTACGAGCTTCCGAGTCTGAGAGAATCGTTTCAATCAATTAACTGAAGTCATTGCAGAATATGTATTAGAAAAATACTGAGTCGTAAATAGTTAAGCAGCATATATTTAGAGCGATATCTAGAAAAACTGCGGTCGAAAAGTGACTAATTGTTTTCGCATCGAAGTAATAATCAGTTCAGATTGTTGTATTTTTACCCTTCATAGGGGTCATGTAACCCCACTCCAAAAATGTGTCAAGCGGACAATACATCTATTTCTGATAAATTGCTAACATCGTTACCCCCCTGATAAAACACAGGTCAACTAGTTCTGACTCGGTTCGCCCACTTAGCCAGACGAAAACCTTTTCGTCTTGTCGCAATCATCCCAGTTGAACGAGCTTTCCCTTCCATCCAGCGTTCAACAAACTTCTCTCTGTGTGTTTCTGCACCTTTATAGCTTGTCGTATAATAATAATGGTTGATAAAATATAATGATTGGAACAAGCTCAGTGACAATTTTTGGAGGGATGATTCTACTACAATTAATGTATAAAAAAATAGCTGCTATTGAAATTGACCAACCGTGGTGCAATATATCTCAACTCAGAACTAAAGTTACTTATGAGAACACAAGATCCTAAGATTATTTCTGTTTTGTTAACAAACAACATTGCCCATTGCTATGGCATGCATTCAGGATGCCTAAAATTGATGAACTCTTTGAAGGCAAAATCAGCTGCAGCTTCTTTCCTTCTCAGGAAGATTTCGATATACTCAGAGTGAAGGCAACAAAGGCCGAAGTTTATTGGTAAGCTACGTTGTACTTATAGGGCTTTATAAGATTATTCGCTTAAATCGCAATGTTTGCTTTTTATTTCCTGCCTACTACAATTTTACGGCAGGGTATTATGCGGAACACAACCACAACGATGCTGAGATATTTGCAAAACTCCGGACGGCAGATGTCTGCGGTGGGGATCGAACGCGCTATTACCCCTTCCGGTGGCTAACGCGTTCGACATCATGTGGGTCCTTTATTTCTTTTAATTATTTGTTTAATTTTGCGATAATCGTGATCGAACATTGAGAGATTTATAGAGGAGGCTTTTTCTTATAGCTTTAATCATCTGTGCGGTTTTTATAGAACACACTTTACTTTCTTTACTTTAACTTTATATTGTTTTAGAACTAAAACTTTCGAAAAATTGACGAAGAAATCCACTTTATTGAAATCTCAAAATGCAAACGCCAATGTGACATTAATGAAAACTTTCGTTTTTCATGGACGAAATCCTATTTCACTAATTGATTTGGTCTCTGAAATACGAGCCTCCAGAAAAAGAAAATGGGAAGGATTGGTTCAGTGAGCTCTATAATATCAGGATTTCATCATGCTACGATAAGAAAACAGAATTTTTGCAAGCTGAACTCATTATGAGCCGAGATATGTTGGCGAGCGGCCACTATTTCTCACCATACGTATTGAAACCAACGCATTCCATCACGAATATGCTGAAATCAGCACGCGTTACGACAAATAGACTGAATGCTTGATATCACTACCAGCATGCATGGCTATTTTGAGTTCTAGTTTTTTCTCATTCATCGAATTCGGTCATCTATCTTTATCTTCAGTCTGACAATTTCAGCGAACATCGGACACGCAGATGAGGATGTTCAAGAGCGTAGCGTAACGAGATTAAAAGGAAAAAATTGGCTAAGCTCGGATCCAAGCGGATGTTGGCTTCCAATGGCAAACATCAAACCTTTGCACAACTTAACGAGATCTGAAAATTACATTAAACGATTTGGGTGTAACTACCCGAGATGCTTTGGGTGCAATGGAACTACTGCGGAAATAATCGCCCCTGCAAACTTTAAATCAACATGTCTCAGTTCACGTTATATTTTTCTTAGTTAGGATGATTATTATAAACTAAAGATCTCTGTTTAAAAGACAAAAGGGACTAGTATTCTTGGGAAACGAGATTCTACCTTCTGAAGCACATGGGATCTCTTTCATTGAGTTTTGCATCGAGTATCGTATTTACAATACAAAAGCAGTTAAAAAAGTACGATTACCAGTTGGTGCATCCTGACGCTGTGTTTTTGTTCGCAGCTGTTTTGCCGGTGTTGGAAATCTTAGCAGTTCAAATTTTGATCAGGGTTATTTAAAAGATAGAACTACAAACAATTTTTAAAACCGAAAGAACACTGCCTAGAAATTATATATATATAAAATATGTATAAATATAACATATATATAGTATGCATATATTATACATATTTATGTCTATATATATATAAATGTTCTAATAATTACAGGGAGAGTTAACTTTAACAGCGTTAAGCGACTTTCATAGGGAGACAAAGTCCTGAACTGCCGGCCGATCCACATGCATGTCTAGGTGCCTTCAATGATGACGAGTGCGAAAGTATGAATCGAATGAGGAGAGAACCGGCACAGCAGGAGAAAGAACTCGAGTCATATAAGAGTGCAATTAAACCTTTCTTTCCCTCTTTTCCCTCATTGTAAAAAATAGATGAAGCTCTCGACGTTGATCAACCCGTGTGGGATGCGCCATGCATTCAACTTCATTAAGGATCGTTGGAGGTGATTGAATACATATCTGGCCTTCGAAACGACAAGTGGTGGCCGCCTACCGGTGAGCAGTGCTGCCATCCCTCCAAACAGTTCTGGCACCAATTTTCCAACTCTGGAGGGGTGAAAGGCTTAATAAGCCTGGAAGGCGGGACCGATCCCAAGTGTATTGAAAGGCGCCTATAACCATTGCGCTATACGTGCCCTTTCTCATTATATATATATATATATATATATATGTATATATATATATATGATCGCAGCATCCATAGCACACCAAGCCTTCCATCTCTCCGGGGTCGGCACATTGGTACCAGAATTGCCTCGAAGGATGTTGAAAAGCATGGAGAACATACAAACGAATGTAGAGGAGAATCGAGCGGAAAACACAAAAAGGTGTGGTATCTCCATGCAATAATAGGCAGTATGTAGTGAGTTCAATGCACACCAGCCTCAGCGGGAGATTTGGCGTAGTTGCGAATGCGGTATGACCTAGATTAGCGTCAAAAGCTCCACCATATATACAAGTATATAAGAAAGGATGAAGCTCTTGGTGTTGATCAATCCCAGAGCAATGAACCATGCATTCGACTTCATTAAGCATTGTTTGAAGGTGACTGGATGCATATTTGGTCTTTACAATGATTCTTGAGAAGGAGAATGAATTTCTCATTCTAGCATGTGGTGAGGAAAGTCTCATCAACTCTCCAACAACTGTGCTTCCTCCTTTTTCGAATCACTTCCACAACTCACGGTGAATGCTCCTTAGTATTTTGAACACACTTTTTATTCCCATTCGGGTTTTAGAACAGCACAGTTGAGATCATGTAATTTTCTTCGTTGATACAGTGTCCGAAAGCGCACTGTCCGCCATAGCCTCTGTTTGCCTGCCTCGAGGTATCGTAATATTTTTCTCAACAGCAAAAACAGCGCGAAGAAACTCGTAGAACAAATTGCTTTCTTCTAGACTGCAATACATTTAAAACATAGCTTCTCCAAAGCATGAGCTGGCACACTATCTGATGTTAGGATGTTAGCTATGAAATGAACGTAAAGGTATAGTAAAAAAACTAGGTCAAAATTAGCAACTAAGCAACCTCAAAATAAAATCTGTCGATGTAATCGAGTACGGTAACGTGTCGTAGAGAGGATCGGTGGTATATTTGCCCACTACAGTAAATTCTTGTGGCTTGACGATGGATCACTTGTTTTTATTCTCTCAAAGAAGTGCGCTGGTAATTCTCTGATGCTAAGATACTGGAAGTTTTAGTTAGACTGAAGCACAAAATTAGTGACAGGACCACTACAATAAGGAACCTACAAATTTTAGAAAGCTTTACTTTTCTTCAAGCCTACGCCGTGATTGTTCTTTCCATAGAATTGCACCAACAGCTTTTTAAATATTATTTGAAACATTTCCTTTAAGGCATAAAAGTAGACCATTGCAGGAAACTCAAAAATACACTACATGGAACCACATCGCCTCAAGCTCATGCAGGGTGACAAATACCATCATCGCGATCATCGCTGAAGAGTGTAGGATACTTTTTGAACACATCAAAACAACAAAGAACGACAATACATTGTCTTTCATTGGCTAGCCTGAAATCGGATAATTATTTCTAAAGAATTGCAGTCATCGACATATCTGCTACAAAATGCACGAATTCTACGATGACATCACGTAACTGCTCTTTTGTAGGTGGGTCTGGTGCTTTACCATGGAGTGACGGAAATGTTTAATCATCAAATGACCAGTTCAACGATTCACTGGAAGTACAACACTCAAAATAACAACAAAGCTCAAATAAATACTGTGTAATAAGCTGGAAGCGGCCCGTGATTACATCACTTTAGTTGTGTAAGTCAATATTTACTACACATACGTAACTTATTTCATCAAGGATCAAAGAAATGATGGCAAAGTCGAAAAAGAAACCAGTGCAACGACTCCTGTATCATAGTCATGTAGGTGCGGTTTCACAACGGCTTGGATTGATAAGTTCTACAGCTGATTTGTTACTTTAGTTTGCACATCAACTGAATGGGTGTGCGCGTAGAGCAGTGGTTAGAGGAGTCATGCAATACACATGGACTCGTTGTCACTCCGAGCTCCCTAAGCCCTCCATCCCTCCGGGACCGGGAATTGGTACAAGACTTGTCTGGGAGGATAACAGCACTGGCTCGATCCATCGGTAGACCACCGCAAATCATCGTAAAGGCCAGATATGTTTTTGAAGTCAAGTGAAGTCAAATGAATGGTGAAAGAGTGCTTGATTTGATTTCATGGTGGGGTTTTTGCGCCATTTCCTCGTGCACTCCCTTCCAGTCCGCGCTGCCATAACTCGTCCACAGCTACCGCAACCCAAATCCTGTGCCATGTTGAGATAATTCTCCATTCCCATACATGATAAGAATACGAGTTTACTTTTGTAGCATTTATTGATAGTAGCTGAAGTTTTTTTTTATTACGCTACGCCAGCTCCCACTATTTTTGTGCAATACCATATTTTACAAGTTCTCTGTTTTCTTGCAAGCTTCGTCGTGTTAATCATTCGAGAATTCCATTTCTCTTATCGACAAAACATTGGAAACCAATTTGCTTCACATAGTAGTCTCATTATAGTTACATGAAAGTATATTGGAGAGCATTTCATCTATGTATAACATTGTTTTCGTGCAGATAAGATTTAAGTTGAAAGCAGAGAACAAAGGATGTCGATCAGATCTTGTCAATTGTTTCATAGTCCTGGATTCTGTCAACTGGTAATGCTAGTTTGTTCCATAGCGCCACCATTACCGTGAACGGAACCGCAACCCAAAATCCTGAACCATGTTGAGATAATTCTCCATTTCCATTCATTAGTAAAATAGTATTAATGTTTAACAAAGCAAGAGCTGAATAACAAGTTCAGTATGTCGTTGGAATGTTCATGCCTAAATTGTTAAGATAGAAAGAAAATTGATACTCTGCCATCTTCTATGAGTCATTCGTACCATTCGGAATCCAAAAAATAAGCACGAGACGAAGATAAGTGGTTTCGTCAGCAAAGTAGGACATGTTTCCTGGAACAAAAAAGTCTTAATCCTCCTTAACGGAATATTTTCACGATCTGCTTCAAAAATTATGCTAAATCAAAAAAGTAACTTGAAAAGAAGCGGTTACTTATGAAATGGAGTCTTCGGAAGAGGTGCGTGAGACCCAATAGTTAGGGGTGACCTGCGATCAACATAGTCGTTGGTTCGGTTCCACGCCCCAAGCTAATCAAATGCCCATCACTTTGGTCTCATAAAATTAGTACCAGACTTGTCTGGGAGGGTGAAACACTGACTTAGTAAATCGGTAGGTAGGCACAAGTCATTGAATAGGTAAAACACGAATTCAGATATCTTTATAATTTTAGGAATGGAGTTGAAAGCATAACGCGCCTCTCGGCAGCCAATCAATGCTGAACACCCCATCTCTTTTTTGAAGTTCTCAGTTGCCTGAGATATTTGTTGAAACGACAGGTCATATGTTCGTTATCAGGATAAACGCATTAGTTTCGTTAATTGTGCTCCATATAATAGTATCAAATAAGTCCGCGAATAAGTAAGTGGATAAAGAAGAAACCCACCGGGTGGTGGCATAATGTAGAGTGTGAGGAACCAAAGTGTCTTCCAAAAGACGAAGGCAGATGTTGTAAATGCGGTCAGAAGGGCGTGACGAGATTGTCGACGAGACTAAAACAAGTAGTTTACAAAATTGTCATCACCAAATTTCCACTTATGACAAGAAGGGAATTCGAGGAACCGGACCTTTCCAAACCACAGATTATTAATATGTTCCTAGAAGGATGAGATTGCCATATTCAGAGGCAAGAAGTGGACCAAACCTCATTGAACAACCGAATGTGTATTGTTAAATGAAAATCTTTAAAGGGAGCATGCTAGTATTTATTTATAGTACACCGATGAGTTAAGATCCTACCATGGTTAAGGTGATGAGATTTAGCGCTATTTCAATCAACATAATTCGTCCAGTGGCGCACGTAACGAGATCGTTGGCATCAGCGTAGCGAGCGTCTACACTGGCATACACATTCCCTGAAACATCTTAATAATAAAAAGTTGTTCAGCCCACTAAAATCCGAAATACCCTCAGATGTCGTTATTCACTGAAATGACTTGTTCTCACGAAGTCCTTCACCAGAACTGTGTTGAGATTTATACAAAAATTCCAAAACGTTCCAAGAAAACGCTCATGAACTGCAACAAACAGGCAGACCTTATTGTTCAGTAAAAGTTGAGTAGCAAGAAGACTAGCAAGGTCAAACTAATGACAGAACTTTCATCGTCCGCAGAAACAAGTCTCCGTCAGACCAATAAACGCAAAGCTGATGACAGGACTCTTATCACCTATGAAGTTAAAACTGCGTCATAAAATGTACGTCACACATTGATATTCAATCATCGGTTCCCCAATATGTCGATTTATAAAAAGTTCATTCGTCTCGTATGACTATTTCGGTCTTCAGCTATCCTGTAAAACAACAGTGTTATAATCAGCAGTTTTTCACCAATATACGTGATCATAAATAAGCCATGAATCTGGATTAGACGCGATCCGTTCCTCGGAATAATCTGCAGCGAAACCTTTCTATAAAAAATCGTTTGCATACCAGAATACGAAAAGTCGCTGAAGAGGATGTGCAGTGGCGAAGTTTGGATTTGAAAATCCAAATGAGTGTGAGCACTTCCCGTTCCGCTTCTTTCTACATCTCAAGGACGACATGGACTAGAAAGGGGAACTCGTACAAATTTCTTTTAAATTTTATATGACCCGTCTTCATGTCTATTGTGTGTATCCCAGCACTTTCCACATTCGATTCGTTTCCTCGTATCCACTGTCCACAAAGATCTTCCAACTTTAACGTGTGACCTCGTTACTGATTGGTGATTTTCATTTCATCTTGAATGTCGTAGAGTGCTGGTCGAGCAATTCTCCCTGAAGTCCTGGGTTAGCCAGGATTGAGCGTCTCCCATTGAATCGCAGAGAGTGGTTTTCTCTCAGAAAAGACCGGCACCGATTTCCCTACCCCGGACGAATGAGAAGCTTAGTTGGCTCGAAGCAGAATCGAACGAGCACCATGCTCATAATGACACACATCACCACCACTGTGCTATACGCCTCTACTCGTACATTACTACGAAAAAACCATCATCTTCCCATAATACGGTCATAAGTGAACGTCAAAACAGGACTTTGTTCTGAAACTTGCGAAAACCTCGAAGACATTAAAGGATTCAAAATAAGAACAAAAAATACAGAGTGGGAGCCTCTGGTGTATTCTTTGTAATGCGATACTAGATTGTCGGAAATCAAACATCTCCACCTCACTTTTACAGCAAAACCATCTCTCAGTACTTTTAACCATAAGATTCTTCTACAAACACTGGAATACTCACAAATATAAAAGAAAGTAGCGAGTATTCCGTTTGTGCTATACGGCCGAAGCATTGTAAACATAACGTCGAGAAAGCAAATAATTGACGATGAACCGAGCCAAATTTCGATCCATAGGGGTAAAATTCGAGTTTTTGGTCCACTTCTCTGCAAAAGAAATTCATATCTGCAACGAACAATAACTCTGTTGCATCCTTAATGACCGTTTGCATAAATTAAAACACGGACCTTTTTTGTCGTTCTATTCCTACGAACTGCAAATACGGTCGTATCGATGGGGGTCTCGGTCATTACGACGTGAAGATTGCAATCTGTTAACTGAATAGGATGTAAATCACTTTCGTTGAGTTTTCTGTAAGTCTCGCCTCGTTGGTAACCAATACAGTATACTGACAGATCAGTGGAGCACATTTGCAGGCCGTCTTTCAGAAGTTTTGTGCTTACGAACACACTCACGCCACGAAAAGCTAACAAAAATAATAATCAAATGCTGAAATTATGATGACTTTTCGAACAGTTGTTAGGCGGACGCTCTTGCAAACAAATTCGGGGAAATTTTCGGTGTTATCAGCATTAGCTTCAACCTTCAATGCAGTGGGGCTGAAAACAATGGTACCCGACTTTATGGTAGGTACCGTTGGTAATACTGAACACATCACCATTGTGTAGCGCGTGTGGCGCAGTGGTTGGAGGCGCCACTGAAACACACATGAAATCGATCCCCGCACCCATGGTCCACCAGGCCTTCCATCCCTTCGGAGTCAGCAAATTGGCATCAGACTTGCCTAGGAGGATGGCAGCACTGGCTCGATACATCGGTAGGCCACCGCGAGTCATTGTGAAGGCCAGATATGCATTTAATCACCTCCAACAATACTTAATGAAGTCGAATGCATGGCGCATCCCTCAGGAATTGATCAACGCTGACAGCTTCTATGGAAGTTTCTCTATGGAAGTAAATGTATGCTGTTTAAAAACCTCGCGATTGCTGAACAAGAAAGCGACACATTCATATTCCAATGCCGAGGTTAATAGAAAGCATTTATTTATCTTCATACGACCAACTGGCTATGAGACCCTCTTACTGGCAAAGTTTTCTACAGAAAATTCTACTGCAGTTCCTTAAGATGCTGGTCACATTAGCAAACAACTTTGCCACATCATTAAAGAAGCAATAAAATATGAGCTCACTATTTTTGTAATAGGATGTAGCACTTCTTTCTTGCAGTGGGATCATTCCTAAGATTTGGCTCCTAGTCCAGTTTCGGTGTGTAGAATTCTTTGTTTTCATGTCTTATTTGTGAAAGCCGATTGGAAAATAGGTAATGCGTATAAAGTTAGCACGTAGTCGCTGCCTTGGGTACAGCAGCAAAAGCGGTTTTTTGGTAAAATTACGAAAGAGGCACATTGATTAAAGATGCCATGCATTAAGATTATACATGCAGAGACACTGATTCGACTCCAGCGCCATTTTCAAGCAGTTTTCGATGCGTAAGTTGTTAGAAAATTGGGACCGTATCTTTTGCCAAGAATCCCCTGCTATCTCTAAACGCCGATTACTGCCCGTATTGAAAACTGCAGCACAGTTATCACAGGATTCGAGAAAGAATTAGAGACGTTTTCGAGAAAATTCATTAAAAAGATGAAGTCCTCTAGGACAGGCGACCTCAAATGGAAATCTGAAGATTTTCGTGGATGAAGTATGCAAGGTAACGAATCGCACAAAGGTAGTTCTGGGATCCATTTGTGAGACAACTTGTGATGTCTGACCATACAGAAAAACATGTTTTACTTCCGAGGATTAATGGTTTCGTAATTAAAATGTAATTTATGAGACTAACATTGGAAGCAGAACTCTAGAGGAAAAGTGACATTGTTCAGAATTCTTATACAAAAAAAACATGCGTATGATGAAAACAATTTAAGTTGTGTATCTAAGCAAAAGTGGGCGCTTCTAGAGCAGTGGATAGAGGGACCCTGCAATTCACATGGGATCGATCCTGCGCCCTAGGCTTATCATACCTTCCATCCTTCGGAAGTCGACAAGCTGCTTCCGGACTTGTCTGGGAGGATAGCAGCACTGACTCTTTACATCAGTAGGCCACCACGATTGTATAGGCCAGATATGCATTCAACTACCTCTGACAATTCGATGTTTCTCTTCAATAAGCAGACACGAGGTTGTTATTATAGAATTTATTAGGATACAATAGCCGACGTTTCGGCGGTTTCGCCTTTTTCAGAGTCTGGAAAGGTCAAATTGAGATGCGATCTACTCAGCGAAACACTTTCATAACCCTGGCAGATGAAACTTGACAAATAAATTTGTACTCGCGTAAGAAAGAGCTTCATTTAAACACCTACCGTTTAATTGTTGTAAGTATTTAAATCAGTTGATGGATAGCAGCCGCACAGAGAAATACATGGGCGAGGACTGTGCCTGTGTCAGGTCATTGGATTAGCCTGATTCAAAAATTCAAAAATGAATCGCAAGGAGGAGTGCCTTGTCATTACGGGTGACCTTGCGCCATACATCAGGCTAATCCAATGACCTGACACAGACACAGTTATCGCCCTTGTATTACTCTGTGCGGCTTTTGACCTTTCCAGGCTGTGAAGAAAGCGAAACCACCGAAACGTCAGCTATTGTATCCTAATAAATTCTATAATAACAACCTCGTGTCTGCTTATTGAAGAAAACATCGAATTATCAATCGATGCCGAGGTTAACAGAAAGTCAGTCTTGAGAATTGCTACGTGAAGTACCTCTGAGAATGTTTAATGAAGTCAAATTTATGGCGCATCCCTCAAGAGTTGATCAACGTTGACACAAAAAATGAAGACTGCCTTTTTTCGAGATGATAGCTTCCTCTTATAATGCATTCGAAATGAATAACGTTGTAGCATCTTCTATGCTTCATTCAAATGAAGTGCCTTGAGAAGTGCACAAAATCAATTGCCTACCGCATTATCCAATACCGTACCTAATCACTTATAAATCTCCAATGCTTCATCGTCATCAAATCTTGAAACAAAGCTAGATGTGAACCTACATTACATCAGCTTACCTTGTGACCAGAAAAACGACTAATCGTGCACACGAATGAAATGTAGGTGAAATGTAGTTCTAAGAAAGACGAATAAAAAGTTTACTGCACTGGCCCGAGCGATTCAGTAATGAACGAGGTTACCGGTAACGGATAACAGTACTTCTATTTTTAGAAAGCGCTGTAAACTCTGTCTCCTATCATTACTTACTTAGTTGACAAATACAACTTGGATACGAAATTAAAGCGTTATCCGAAGCTTTAGTCATTATGATTCCAAACCAGCTATAGCATTTAAATTATCATTTTTGAAATATATTAGAAGCGAAGGATTAAAAAAATAGTTGGTGCTGAGCAAGAAAAAGTGGTATGAGTGATTCTACGAGAAGCCCTGAATTTTGTCGGGGGTATTAGTCTGATTGTGAAACCATCAACCTCTGATGAAAGATGAAATGTAAAGCTCTCAGCCTTAAACAATGCCTGCGGAATGCAACATGTATTTGATTTCATCCAGCATCGTAGAGCAGGTTGAATGCGTATTTGGTCCACGTGAACAACAGATTTCAGTAGCATAGAAATGTAAGTAGTCACCTCTTTTTTTCTACTATTCATTTGTCCCTCGTCCTCAACAATCCCGGTTCCAATTTTGGAAAACAGTAGACATGTTTAGCCCAGGGGAGAAATAGAGCCAACGATCATATGTGTATTGTACAGCATCACTAAACATATCTCTACACGCAGCTTAACCACTCGTAGATCTCCATAATACTTGCACAGTCGTATGAAGTGAAAAATCTTCGGATACTGTAAAAACCAAAAACGACGTCTAAGAACGCCGAGAATTTTCGATCATAAGAAATAAACAAAAAGGTAAAAGACATATGAACTCATAGAAGTGTCCAATGACTTCAACACGAAGCAACATGAAGAGTTACTTTCAAGGCATTGAAAAAAACGTTCCTGTTTGGTAGAATTCCTAATGAATCGCGCTTGCGACAACCAATTATTCCACCAATCTCCAATCAGGGTGACCAAAAAATAGGAGAACGCAGGGAATACTGTCGTTTAGCAAATGGAAATGGTGAACGATGACCCAGATATCTGGAGGAGAACGAAAAGAGAACCGATCGACACTGCGCATACAAAATCGATTTCACCATTTACTCAGTAATCGCCGATACAATGAGAGTGCTCGAACATAAAGACATTCTCGTTGTCCGCTAATGATCCAAACAAGTAATAACAACTACTTTTTATAAGACCTAGCGTAAAGATTCAGAAACGACCACCATCATTACGTGGTGTTGGTGGCGCAGTAGTTAGTGATGCAATCCATCAGGAGGCAAGGTGCTTGTTTGAGCCCATGGCAATGCTCTCTTGCAATCCCCGTGGGAACGCCTTACCTCGGCTCTCTCTAAGATTGCAAGGAGAGTCAAGCCGACCAGCATTCAGCGACATTGATAACGAAGATGAAATCCTCAAACAGCAACCGAAACAACAAATGGAAGGTTCGGAGACTACTGTGGACAATGAATGCGAGGAGAAGGAATCGAATGGAAGAAGTGCTGGGTGCTCAGGAAGAAATGAATGAGATAACGGGTCATGTAAAACAAAAAACAAAAAATAAAACTAATTGGAGGTGTGGATTAACCTGAGTACTTAAATCTAACTGTCTTAAGTTCTTTAAGAAGCTTGGAATGCAACCGCTGTGAAACTCTCTGTGAAGTTTTAAAGGAATTCCTGCTGGAAACCATGATGAAATGTTCATATAATGGTCAAAAAGCAAAACTGGAGGTTATGCCTTATTTATGAACATCATAGGATGATTGCCATGCCGATTCTTCTTGCGATCTTAGGGATAATGTTTACTTTTCATTTTCCGTCCTAATTTTTTTTGGCAGGATATTAAGCGAAATACAAGCACAATACTGCTGAGATAACTCAAAAGACCGACCTTCTATAAACCTCGGCATAGATAGTTGATATATTTGTTTATATGATCTTATAAACGGATCTTCTTTAGCTGATGCGAGATTGGTATAGGTCTTCTTTGTCGTTGTCGTTGTTGTTGTCGTTACTGTTGTTCTTACTGGTCGATGGGTGACGTTTCGGCGATTTTGCCTTCCTCAGAGCCGTGATGTTGCGAGTGGGACTGAGACTGAGGAAAACGAAATCGCCGAAACGTCAACCATCGACCAAAACACCAACAACAACGACAACGACAAAGAAGACCTATACCAACCTCGCATCAGCTAAAGAAGATCCGTTTATAAGATCGTATAAATAAATATATTGCTGAGGTATTTGCAAAACCCCGGACTGCAGGTGTCTGCGGTGGGGAACGAACGCGCTACTATCCTTTCAGGAGTGCTAACGCGTTCAGCACCATACCACACAGCTCCCTCGTTTCGCCTTTCTCTCATCTAGCTTTCTATTTTCCAGTGCCATCAGCAGCAGCCGTCACCATCTCAGCATCATTATGGTTGTATTTCACAGAATACCCTGTCGTGAAAAATTTTGCTAGCCAGAAATCAAAAGGTTAACATTGTGATTTAAACTATGGCCTCATCTTAACTGAATTCAATGCCGATTTGTGCTACCAAGTTCAGTCCCACTGACGGATGATTGTTGACGGTACTGGTAGATAAAAGCTAGTTGAGAGAAAGGAGAAACGAAAGACCTGCACGGTGTCGTGGTGAATGCACTAGCCCCCGGAAACAGTGATAGCGTGTTCGATCCCCACAGCAGACAACCGCAGTCCGGAGTTTTGCAAATATCTCAGCGTCATTCTGGCGGAGGTAAATAGAATGTTAACATATTAACAAATGAGTCATCTATCCTGTCATCTGTAAATTGTCTCTTAGCGACCATATCATGCACCCGGCTCACAGCTGGCTGGAAAGGGATTCTGTAATTTCTTGTATAAACCGCGTTTCTTTGTCCAGCAATTCGGGCACTGAGTGAGCAGCTGTCAGCTGCATGTACTTTTCAGTATCTGCTGTTCCGATCAACTTTTTGTATAAACTACTGCATCGTTGTCACATGTATTTTCTGTATAAGCTATTGCATGACCTCCACGAACATTCTGTGTAAGCAGTTCTATCAGATTACACTGGCTGAGAAATATTCAAGCATCGCCTCTGGTAGCTTCTGTCAAGCTCCCCCTTTACATAAGGATGAATATAACGAGCATTACTAGCCATCCGGTTAGTGTTTCGCTCGATTTCGCTCAGCTCATTCGCTCAAGTAGTTCGCTCAACTAGTATTCGCTACCTCTCTGGATATCATCACATTATTAATACTATCGTTATTATTGCTATAAACAGTTATATTCCTAGCTTTAAATGCGCTTTGTGGTAACATCAAAAAGTTCCGCCTGGCGAATTCGTACAAATTCGAGCATTATACTTCACGGTGGTGATTATTCTGCGCTAAAGTTGAAGACCCATATTCCACTGCGTACAACCGGTGTGGGAGATCATAAATTAAGGTGTCCAATAAATACCAAACACCTTTGCATTGGCTTGTAAGGTGCATGATGTGTGAACGATTTATAGCTCAACAGTAGAAAACAATACCGGTAGATATACAACATCTGAGATGAGCGGTGCATTAGAAGGACTATCCAGCCCCACTCCTGGCTGTCATAGAAGCGCAAAAAAGTATGAAAAGTAATCAGCTAAAATTCAGGTGTGGTGTTAGTTTACTCAAAAAACGCGACTATAAAATAGTCAAAGATCGTGCGTCTTACAGTCAACCAATGGATTTTTTACCCAGATCATAAAGTATATTACACAGACAAACAAAGCATATCGTGAAAGTGAACAACTGTAAGAGATACAATTCGATAATTAAATAAGTAGAGAATTACTGCTCCAACCGAGAAATCAATGAGTTAGGCACGTGCGAGATCGAAGATGATCGGCGAGTCATCGTCAGCATCCATCGCCATCACCGTGTCAACCTCATATATCTAAGACGAAAAAAAAGAACAGTGATAACTTGAGGGTCAAAATCATTAGCGAAAAAAGGCTGGAGGATGGGCGGAACTAAAAACCACACCATCACAGACAGAAAACCACAGGTAACATTTTGGGGAAACAGAAACACTTGGGCGCTAACCTCAGTGGCGTCTCTGGTCCTTGTTGGCCGAATCTGATCGAGAAGGTGAGCGCGTATGGCGATCGCAAGCAAGATGCAACAACCACGGATCACTGAAACCATAACGAGCTTAAAATATCGTTGAAACTAAGTGTTTTGATCGCTTCGTTATTCGAGAAGTGAGCTTTGATGAGGGAAACAAAGAATGGAAAGAGATCTCTTATCATCAAAAAATCATTTCTCATCGTAGATTAGAAAAATATGGATCACCCTGAAAAAAATGCAAGTTCTAACGGCTTTGCGTCAATTAATATAGAATAGAGAGATAGCGCAGTGGGTAGTGATGCCGTCGAGCAGGAAGTAATGCGCTATCTCGGTCCCCTTCGCAACTCTTTCCTTCAATCCATGTCGGTGCGCCTTAGCCCGACTATCTTCAAGATTGCAAAGAGAATCGACTCGATCAGCATTCTACGACATTCATAGAGAAGACGAAATCCTCAAACAACGGCTGAAACGACATGTGAAATGTTCGAGGACAATTGTAGATGATGAATGTGAGGAAAACGAATCGAATGTAAGAGATGCAGGGATTCGCACAGCAGATGTGCTGACGGCTCATTTGAAATAAAGAAAAATAATTAAGATCTATGCTTATACGTGGTTGAAGGCGGACAATTTCTAGATGTGCATGTAGTGAAATCGTGGGAACTGTTGCGAATGTTTCGCCTCCAGTGCCAGCAGAATATTTTCGACTTGTAAAGGAAATCTTGTCACTAAGACAAAAAATTGTCTTAGCTAGACAAACGGTACTCTTTCTCCGCCGCTGCCTGAAACACCAAGTTGTGCTGAACTTCACCAAACGAAAACGACTACACAATGTATGCGGCTTACCGAAGGACAGCCAACTAGTACTGGACATCGAAACGCGACTACTACGCGCCCCTCTTCGATGAAAACAGGGCACCATGTACGCGCTATTGAAGAAGTGCAAGTTGAAGGAAATTTATTGTGTTCAGTATTTGGAGGATTCTCTTTGGAGGAGAATAGTGGGCTCTGAAGAAGACGAAGCCGCCGAAACGTCAGCTACTGTCTCCTAGTAAATTCTATGATAACAACCTTGTGTCTGCTTATTGAAGAAAAACATCGAATTATCAATCGATGCCGAGGTTAACAGAAAGTCAGTTTTGGGAGTTGTTATGAATTTGTTCCAGAATTTTTCTTCGAATACTAGAATAGAGCCTTTCAGCACTTCTATGTTCTTTTTGCTTTTCAAATCCATTTCAACACGACTTAGTTCCAACCACAATGCCATCGAAGTGTTAACGATCATTTAAGTTCAGGATTAAGCCGAAATTCGTTGTTTTTCCGACAAATACAAAGCTATTCCTAGCAAAGCGTGTCCAGCAGAATCACAGCAGAAGGAAGAAACCAGTACAAGCTCGATCTCGACCGTTCTGAAAATTGTTTTCCTGGAGGCAATTACTGATACATGTGGCCATCACAATGCGGTCGGCAGACGTATGCAGCTCCTCATCTGCACCCATTGTCTAATTTTACTAATATTGTCCGCTTTGAAAGTCCTCGCCCTTTCATATCTTCTTAAAGCTTTCCTGATGTCCTACATTGCAGGTGGATATAATGAGCCTAAGACCTTTTTGAAAAGGTAAGATGCTTGAAAGTAGTTCATTAATTCACACAACCCAATACAACTAATTCCTCTCAACCTCTCAATGTAATCATTTTTTATTTACTATTTTTTCGCATGCCTGGGTATGATGTGAAATATAACCACAATCACGCTAATATAATTGCAAAACTTCGGATCGCAGCTGTCTTTGGTGAACATCGAACACGATATTATTGTTTCTTACCCTAAAACTACCTGAGAGAAAGACGAAACGAAAAACCCGAACGGCGTGGTGGTGAACGCGTCAGTCCCCGGAAAGGTAATAACGTGTTCGATCTCCACCGCAGACACCTGCTGGCCGGAGTTTTGCAAATATCTTAGCATCATTGTGGTTGCAATTCCTCACAATATTTTTTAAAGCAGTCGTTCAAATCAGACGAATGTAGAGTATTTATTGTCCTGCGTTCCAAATAATAATGAAATATCCAGTCTGCCATATTCTTTCAGATAACCGAATGATTAAAAACCATATTTATAGAATACCAGCACTCCTTCTTTCTGTTAAACCATTTCTTCTACCTTATCTTTCTTCGTGACCACTTTGAATTCGCTAGACTTTAGTCCACAGTAAGAATAAATCACGCTGTATGCATGACAATATCAACCACTCATCCATCAGCCATGTAATTCTGTTCGAAGAAAGTGAAGCCCAGTATTTTGAATGTAGAAGAAATCTACTCAAAATCTGATTGAAAGTACACACATATTTTCTCCTAACAAACTCTTACTACTCCTTTCCACAGTGAAGGTTGTGCCGTTTCCAACGTCTTCTGAACCACCAATTCTTAAATGGCGAGTGAAATCGAGGCCATATATTGTGTTACGAATAAACCCTAAGAGTTCTCATTTCTTTATAGGTTGAATTCTTACATCTGAGAAAATCTCTATCCAGACCCAAATTCGTGTAGTGAAACCCTACAGGAGTAAAAAATCGGTTAAGAGTGATCATCGTTAGTTAAACAAAAGGACGACTTACAGGTTGAACAGACGATGATGACGAGAGGTGCCGCATCCAGACCCCAGGTGTGGTCGGAGGCGTACATCCACATGTAGCCGTTCAGCATGGCTGTCTCCATCGTTGCCACACCGATGTACAACATCAACCTGTAAGTATTCACTTAGAGCAGCTACCACTCAATAGGTACTGAATTGATAACATTTTATGGAGAGCGAGTTCAAGAACTAAACAGATTACAGCAGAACATAGATGGTTTTCGTTTCCAGTTTCAACACCACCGTTATCACCGTTATAAGTAACAGGTCCAATTGAGAGCAACATCATGAACAAACAAAAATCTTCAGAAGATTCTGCGAAAGCCACCTGTCGAATGCTTGAAATGGCAGAATAAGGTGGAATCTCAGAAAATATCTGAGAACTGAAGCGATGTTAGAGGGTACTGAACCATACTGGAAGCAGGACAGTACATGCCGAGTACGCAAGAGATGTGTACGAAATCCTGACATACAGACATGCCACTACTTTCTGGCGCTTTTTGTCCCCTACATTTTTTGGATGTTTCACTCATATGGGGCTTTTATGTGAGCTATTTTCAGATTTTCAAACTCCACACTTATGCAGTTTTCGAGAAATTGTTGTACAGCTAAAATTTTAAGCAGTTATGACAGAAACGGTAGAATAAAGGGTAGTCGAAGCATTCGATAAGCAAGGATCGCTTCTTTTTGTTGTCTGTTTCTGCATTTCCGTGTCTTGCAAAGAACTATGATGTTTTGTCGGAGAGTTTGCTTAGCACCATGTTGACTTCTGTTATCGCCAATACCACCCTCTGTGAGGGTGATGAAGTCTCGCTTACCCGTTCGGTTGCTGTTCTTTCATCTGACACTTGCGCATTTCGATCAAAGCAAAGCCGTGCAGTAGGATGAATACGAACAGTATCAACGTACGATAGTCGTTAGCCGTGTGAGAAGCAGAAAAACCTGGAATAAGTGAACTAACACGTTGCCTTGCTTCTATTCTCTTGTTAGCAATAGAAATAGTGAATAACGACCTTTTTAAACAAAAAAGGCATAGAGTTGCACTAACCATACTGTTCGTTATTATTTCGAAATTTTAAACGAGCTGATACATTAAAAAGCTAATATATCAACTTTCAGCAGTCATCGTCGACCGTATTTACCACCTAACTTATTGCCCATCTTATCGATCTGGAACCATTACTCACCTTACTAGTAGGATTTAGTACAATGCCTGCGTCTACTCGTTTTTCAGAACTCAAGGTGAGTTACTTCTATTTCATAGAACTCATGGAAATAAACTCGGACTCATCACCTTTCTTTTTTCTTCCTCCTCTTTCTATTATCTGCTTAACGAAATATGCCAAGCATAAAAGAACAAATATACGAAGTCTCTTCTATACTATACCATCCTCATGTCAGACACCATTGAAGACTGAGAACCGATCGAGTTACAACCAACTTCAACACAAATCGAACAGATAGTAGCCAATGCTAACTGGATGGAATCACCGAATCTATCACAGGTAGGTCTCATTCAAATTTTCACTGTTCTACGACCTCTATGCCAGCTTTCGAGACTCATACTGGTGATAAATTACTCACTCTCCCTACGATTTGCTTGTGATGAACAGCAAGAAATGACTGGTAAAATATGGCTTGAGATGAAAGAATTGACATGAAAACCAATCGTCGTTGCTATTTTAGCAATACAATCTCCGTGCTTTAGCTTACAGTGAAAAAAAATGAAAAATTGAAAAATTTGAATAAAGACGACCCAGAAAAACGATGGTTTGAGTGACGTGAAAAAATCTCGAAAGCTGCCAACAGAAGAGGAATTCCGGCATGCTCTTTTGACACGATTTCAGTCAAATGTTCTTACCTATAATTGAGAGAGAATTTAGAGAAAAAACACAGAATATGGCGATTCCGAAGAAAATCTCGATGACAAACAATCCAAAGAATGCTGTTTCGTAGCTCACGTTACAGAGGCTGTTGTAGAGCCCGTACGCCAATGATTGGGGTCGCGGTCGGGTCTGTAAGAAATCTTTAGTAGCAAGAATGGATGAAACCATCGAAAATATGCAGTTATTAAAACTAGTTCTTCGGCACCCGTTCACTTGCCATACTCGTTTTCAGGAACAAATGAACCAGTGCGAGAAAACCGTTCTAAAAAACTTCGTGTTTTACGAAATATCAGGCTGTTTCGAAGAATATGTCCTTACCGTGTTTACCGCCGTGTGAACCATCCAGTCACTAGTCGGCTTAAGAAGATCTCGAAACGGCAACCTGTGGCGGACCATCATCGCATACATAGTGTACGAAGCGAATCCGATGACGATAAATGTTGGAGCGAACATTATGCCTGCAATGAAGCAACTAAAGAAGGACACATTTAGTGCCAGTACAGGAGAACAAAGTCGACTTTGCTATGGAGAATTGCAAGGTTTACATCGACGAATTATCATGTAATTTGGTCAACTGATTTTCACACTTTATATTCATGCCTTTCTTGACTTCACCAAGTTCCAAATACTTAATCTGCTACAGAAAAAACTTAGAACTGCTCCAAGTAAGGTATCTATGATACCTTTCCAATAAATGAAAAAATGACAGCGTAACGCCTACCATATCCAATGATCCTACGAATCCACATCGGTCCCGGTATGAAGAGAGTTCCAGCGTCGATATGCTGCAGAACGTCATTGCCACGCATTAACAAATCGAATACCGAAGTAAATTTTGCCTGTAAGCCAATGTCTCGCTCACCAAATAGGAACAGAAGTGACGATGGCGGTTAGAAGTCTATTAAATTCTAGCGCTTAAACGAATACGAGTCAGAAAGAATGCTTAGGTTTAGCTACTGCTGCAGACTGTTTTATCTTCACTATGATAAACTCGCAGAACGAACTCGCTAGTTTGACTTCACGCCGACCGCAACCAAATCTCCAATTCCTTCGGCAACAAGAAATTAGGGTCAGACACGTCTAAGTGGAATTCTGATATGGCGAATACCAATTAGTGCCTGTTTCAAGGGCCTGGAAAACATTATCAGAGCTATCCCAGCAACTCTGGCAGAATCAATGAGACCAACATTTAGGAATATTCCTACAGGATGCAGTATTTTCACGCAACAGCCGAACCCAAGACTAATCGAAAGGCATTCATGGATGACGGGTATGAAACCACGAACTGAATGAAAGAAGTTTTGTGATTTGCACAATATGTGATGTCTAGCAATTAAAAATAAATACTTCAACACACTTGTAAATTCTCCAGTGCAAAACAATGTCTCTCTAATAGCATTTCAACGGCTGGTATACAATTCTGCGTAAGATTAAACTCTTTGAAAGAAGCGTTCAGATAAGTAAAGAAAAATCTCACTTTTGTTATTAGTGGCGCATTTCCTTTGCTTTCTTTTACAAAAACCGAGATCACACACTATGTGGAGACCCATACTTCTTCCATTCGGTTCGTCTCCTTGTTTTCTTGTATCCATCATAGATGAAGGTCTTCGGATTTGCGTGTGGGTTTGGTTGCTGCTCGAACATTTGTGGTCTTTTTTGTGAACCTCGTTGAATGATGGTCGAGCTGATTCTCCTTGGAATCTTAGGACAGCTGCACTAAAGCATTCCTAGGTCTCCAAATAGACACTGACCAATCCTTGCTTATTGGAAAAGAGCTTTTCACATACAAATCTGGCATAATTTGCAAACCAGTCTGATATAAATCTCCCCACTCTGATAAGTAAAGAAAAATCCCATTTTTGTTTTAGAGAGAAAGAGATTCTTGGTTAGCTCGGATTGTGGTCGAACAAGGGGTTGATTCCCTATCAATGCACTACCCGTTTTCAGATTTAGTTTCACTTAGTTTTTGAAATTATCGTTTTCCTAGGAAAACACGCAACAGCTATACAATGTATTCTCTAACGTTTCAATGTTGTGTATGGAATAAACAGATCCAGCGATACTTAGAACACCCACACATAGCAATGCGGGAACGAGGGTGAACATCAGCACCGTGTATACGGGACTAGTAGGTCGAGTAAGGTACTGTATGAGGGAGATGGAGTTGCTCTCGTTCGAGGTGATCAGTATGTCTGATTCTACGGTTTGCCATCCTAAACAAAAAATTTACTGGAGATTAAAGATGATGAGGAGGAAGACCTAAAAATCGTGCAACGTAATAATCGAACTAATTAGGGAATGCTTACCATAAACGAAATAAATAACTATATAGCAAAGAATCTGAATGATTGAAGACTCAGAAGTGTAGTGGAAAAGCGCAGTGATTTTCGTTCCAAGCTGAAAAATGAGGAATAACATGAAAAATGGGAAAAACAATCTGTAAAGTAATAGAGAATGAAGAACAAGTTAATAATTAAAGAGTGATCATTTATGAAGTTGCAACAATAGATCCGCTATGACAAAATGACAGAATGACAGCAGATCTTGGCTTAAATGATTGGAGTTATTTTTCAAAATAAGTACAGATAAACCCGAAAACGAGACTTGTGTATCACATCCAACCTTTTCACTAACTCTCACGATATTAGAACAAACTTCTGTTCGGAGGAATTGCTCCATGTCTCTCAAGCTCCATCTACTCGTTTTGCAAAAGACAGTCGGAGGGCGGGTGCCCGCACAGTGATCGGTGGCGCCCCGCAATACATGGGATCGGCTCCCGCGCCCCTGGCTAGGCCTTTACATCTCTCCGGGGTCGGCAAATTGATACCAGACTTCTCTGGGAGAATAGCAGCAGTGGTTAGATACATCGGTAGGCCACCGAGAGTCATTGTAAGGACCTGATATGCATTCAATCACCTCCAAGCGATGCTTAATGAAGTCGAATGCACAGTGCATCCCTAAGAAATTGATCAACGCCGAGATTTTTATCTTTTATCCTTTTTATGAATAAAATTCCCGCTGTCACAGAAAAAGAAAAAAACCAAGGGCGGCAATTGCAAATAGAACCTTAAAAGGTTGGGTGGAAACCGACCGGCATATAGAGCAGTACAGAAGGTACAGCGAAAAATGTGACGATCAAGGCAAAAAAGAAAGGAGCAAAGTTCTGGACGGTGGGAGCATCGTCGACAAACGACTCGTATATGAAAGATACGTAAACAATCTGAACAACACAATTTTTATACAAAAAAGGGCAAAAAGTAAAAGGGAACGGCAAACCATGGGTCCCATAGATGTGTACAGAAATTGTGCAGCATAGTAGAACGCAGCCCATAAAGGGCCAACCTTGCTGGTAGCGAAGCAGACCGGAAGCAGATCGAACGATATTGTTTCATCTGAATATCAATTTCATTAATATACGATTAATATGCCAACAAATTTGGTGATGGCAATATGTTTGGGCAAATTTCTTGTAACAGATTCATTTCCTCAGTACGTAAGTCTCACGACATAGTTTAGCACAGTATGACTGTTTCATTACACTACTTCTACTCTTGACGTTTTGGTACGACTTCGATGCCATTTTTCGAATAACTCATTTGTTAATATGTTAACGTTTCATTTATTTATTTATTATTTATTGTCGCCAGAATGATGCTGAGATATTTGCAAAATTCCGGACTGCTTGTGTTTGAGGTGGCGATCGAACACGCTATTATTCTTTCCGGTGGCTAACGTGTTCACCACCACGCCATGCCCGCCTTTCGTTTCGCCTCTTTCTGAGCCACTTTTCTGTCTACCACTCCCATTAGCAGTCACCAACACCATCTCAGCATCATTATGGTTGTATTTCACATAATACCTTGCCGTGAAAAAATTTAGTGAGCAGTAAAGAAAAAGTTAACATTGTGATTTCGACTGCAGCCTCATCTTGACTGGGTTCAATGCCGATTTGTGCTCCCCAGATCAATGCCGTTGACGGGAGATTGATGACGGCCCTGGTAGATAGATAACTAGCTAAAGAGACAGGCGAAACGAAAGGCTCGCATGGTGTGGTGGTGAAAGCGTCAGTCCCCGAAAAGGTATTCGATCCTCACCGTAGACGCCTGCCGTCCGGAATTTTGCAAATATCTCAGCAGCACTGGGATACATTTGTCGAAACTTCCCATTACCACACGTTTACCTCACTTTAACAAACCCGTAACGTAACAACGCATTCTCGGTAATTCATCAACTAAAAAAAAACGATGTCATACCAAACTGCAAGATTGGATGTAAATTCCAAAATAAAGTTAGGAAAAACAGCTCTAAAAACCTGTGGAAGCATAGATAGTGTAAGCCGGCTGCTGCTCAGCCACATGACCTTCGCATCCACTACGAAGGATCGTCAAAAGCATCGGAACCGGCTAAATTGAGCTATACCTTAAAAACTAAAAAACAACCTAAATCACAAAATCCGAAACTTCTGAAAAATTTGCTTCCTTAGTTCACAACTGAGTAAAAGAATGCTTTCTAGTCTCACATAATGGTAAAACGGAAAAGCAGATTTCATAAAACCTTACCAACATCATGGGCAAAAGGTACAGAGCATTCATCGATTTAGCACCTGGTCTCAGACGACTAGTGGCGAAAAGTAGTAGACCAGAAAAAGCTCCCGAATAGTCTACAGCAAGAATCGAGGCGCGGTAGAAACCCTAAAAGCTCAGTCATTTTGACATTAATAAATAGAAATTCTACATTAAATCAGTGCAAAAATAGTTCCGGAATGGTTGCTCACTCTGACATCAATCCAGTAGTCAAGCGGATCGTCGTCCCGTTTTCGTTGGGATATTTCCTTCTCGATTGTGCCCATTCCAAAATGAAACCCACTTACTGACATCCCCATAATTAAAGCTATGTACAAAGCAAATGGTACCGTCACAAAGACACGCGAAATTATGGTTCCTATGCTGTTAGAGAACCTGAAAAGCATTCCAACTTATCTTAATAAACGCATTATTGCAGTAATGTATACAGTAGCTTAAAAATATGGAAGCAAGACTACCGAGAAATAACTTACTTGACTAGTAAAAAATAAATTGTTGTCCATATGAGAGCGTGTGCGACCATAAGAGGTAGTGATGGAAAAGTGAAAAAGAACTGAGACTTGGAATTACCCAAGTACCACTCGTTGGGTTCCCAAACCGGAGAGATATTAACCGTTGGATCGTTGCCTCTGATAACATAACTGGAAAATTTCAGCAAAGTCTTGACTCACTTTCCATTAGCCATCTAATTTCTCTTTCCATAATTTTCCGTGTTCTTTCATATAAAGAAAAGAGTATTCGCTGTTGACTAGCCCCTCAGAGATAGGTGATGCGTTCGACATTAACCATCGTAGGAGGGAATGAATTAATACCTGGCCTACACAATTACTCGCAGTGGCTTGCAAATGTATCAAGCCAGTGTTTTTGTCCTCCTGAACAAATATGATAACAGTTTGTCGACCTGGGAGAGATGGAGGTCTTGTTGAGTCCACAGCGCGGTATCGAGCCATAGAGCGCATTGCACGACGCCTCCAACATTGCGCTACGTGCATCCATTCCTTTTATTTAGTAGAAATTAAGTGAGCAAGAAAAGTGTTGCAAACTTGACAAATCTACAACATTTTCGAAAATTTTCAAAATTTTTCATGAATCGATTCAGGAAGTGATGACCGACTTTTTCTACTACTTACGCATTAGTAAATCCATGTAGCACGAATACGTCAGACTAATGAACATATAACATGCATTGGGTATAATTCGTTTGGTGCTCAAATAACAGCCGCTTTCAATTTTAAACCAAAATGTTCCATTTTACATTGAACCTTAATAGTTGCGAGGTCAAAGTTTGTATTTCGAACAAGAAAGGAATTGAATAAGTTGGATATCGCTAAGTAGGACTTGATGGTGCTACTGTTTCCACTTGTCGGCCGTGCATTAGGTATTTTAAAAAGTCAAAATTCGTCTTTAGTTTTTCAAAACTAATAGTTTTAGTCCTATCTGAATTTAAAACTCAAAAAACACTGTATGCTTATATATATGTGCATATGTTTTATTTTATATGAACCGTCTTTACGTCTACAATGCGGATCTCAGCACTTCCCAAATTCGATTCCTTTCCTCGCATCCATCACCGACTAAGATCTTTCGACTTCTACGGGTGGCTTCGGCCTGCCTGAAGATTTTCATTTCATCTTGAATGTCGTAGAAAGCTGGTCGAGTTGACTATCCTTGAACTCCTGAGATAGCCAGGCTAGAGTGTTCCCAGTTAGATTGCAGAGCTTGATTTTTTCACGGACAAGTCCGGTACCAATTTCCCGCCTCCGGAGGGATGACAGGCTTGATTCGCCCGGAGCGGATTCGAACTAGCACCATGCTCGTGAACTACGCTGACAATAATTTCTCAATCACTTGATATGTTAGAAGCTGAAAACTATACAGATTTATAAAAGAGGGTTTGTTCCACACTCTTAGTCGAATTTATACATACATTTGTGCATACACAGATTATGTATATATGTATATATAATCTATATATATGTATATATATATATATATATATACATAGATGCATATATTAGACTAAGATTACAGAACAAGCCCTCTTCTATACATCTGTGTAGTTTTCAGCTTCTCGTATATCTAGTGAACGAAAAATTGTTGTCAGTTATCGAAGAACCAGCTTCAACCATTATGTGTTAATGTTGAGAAACCAGCGATCTTTTCTATATGGCAGCTTCAATACGATCGACCTGGACGTTGTGCCACTACCTTTCTGATTATGCAGTTCAAGTATAAGCGACCACGCTTGATTTTCCCCCACTCGTTGCACCTTCTTCATGATACCCACCAATGGAGACATCCTATTGCCTTCCTCAATGACTGAACTCTCTGTGTTAACATAATCATTTAGATTGCTTAGTTTGAAATACGGTCGCAATGATGCTGAGATACGAATAAAACTAGGAACCTCAGCTGCGTTTCGAATCCGCGATTACCTTTTCCGGAGAAGCACGTGTTACCCACTGCATCACCGAGGCCATAGGTCATCGCTTATAGCACCGTTAGAGTAAAAACTGGTTGAGAAAAAGCCAAAGCAAGGACCTCAGTGGTGCAGTGGGTAATGTGTGAGCCCCCGAAATGGTAATCGCGGGTTCGAAGCGCAACTGAGGTTTCAGGTTTTGCTTCTACCTCACCATTATTGTGGTTGTATTTCACACAATATCCTACCATGAAAAAAATAATAATACGAAGTGAATAAGTGAATAAAGGTTGAACAATGTTGACCCTGTTTGTGCTAGTTTTTGTATGTCGTAAGCAAGGGATCCTAGCGCTAATGGATATGAGCAAGCTACCATTCAGTGACTTTCGAATTATAAAGCATAAAACATAGCTTTTCTCAGACCATGTCCAGTACACATCTCTGCTCGAGAATAATAAGAATAACATTGGACTCCTAGTTTCTACTGGACCTAACCTAATGAAATAACGATAGAGAAATGAAAGGAAAAACAAGCCCAAGTAATTCTTGCACGAATTTCTACTAGGCCTCAAATACGGTGATAGCTTAATAGTGTTTAACGGCAAAACATAATAACTACACATTTGTTAGTAAAGTAACGGTTCCGGAACACCCTAACAAGTTAGACAAATAAGAAAAATTGATAAAGTAACTACGCATAAACTGAACCAGTGTCAATGAGATCGACGACATTAGGCCTTTTCTGTGCTTTTTTAGCCCAACAAAATGATCTCGATCGTACTAAAACTTGTCAAGGAAATATTTCCGTATGGAAAATCATGATGCTCTGAACAAGACTCGACGGAAAAAGACATCCAAACACTTTTTAGCATCACATCTGTTTTAAGAAGAGTGCTCTAGTGACTACTCGAACACCATCATCTACATTAAATATTTTAATGTTTTACTCCTTATTTTCTGTCTACTACAGTCACGGTTGGCTATTAAGCGGAATACAACCACAACGTTTGCTGATATATTTGCAAAACTCCGGATGGCAGATGTCTGCGGTGGGAAACGAACGCGCTATTACCTTTTTAGGAAGCTAACTAGTGTGGTGGTGAATGCGTTAGCCCTCGAAAGATTTCTAAAAAACCTGACCCAAGTGCTACAGCTACAAATACCAGCCATATACTAGAGAATGGTACACTGCCCAGCTGGAAGAAACCTTCTTTTTGATCACTTGCTTCCTTCAAATCACTTAGGAAATACAAGTCCCGATGGAGAAGTAGTGAAATGAATGCCTCGTGGGATGCAAAAAATCAGGAATTTATCATAGTATAACAAAGATGTGCATCCTACAGATGGTGATCTGTAACTTCAATAGGTTTTTACTTCAATTAACCTGTTTATTACGAGCCGAGATGTGCTGGCTTAAATTTCAAAGCGGCCAATATTTTCGCAAATGAATTGTACTCAATACATATTGGGCACGATTTGTTAATGAATCAACTTTGTTACTGCTGCTGTCGCGCATTCAGGAGCCCAGTACCCTAGAGTATCATCGGCGAAGTCCCATACTTCTGCCCATTTTATTCTTTTGAAACAATGGCCAGTTTGACATCACATGAACGAATGAGTTTAAAGCAGGCGGTTCAGATATTATATTCCTAGTTAGTTTATTTCGCAAAATCCTAGGGAATCGCACATAATCTGGCTTACGACTGCAGCTTGGAAATCTATTGTCTCCTTCCAATGATACGTATAATTCTAATGGGAGGTAGTTCTCGATAAGGTTCCAGAAAGGGAGTGAATGGTAACCACTGGGAATTGGAGGGAGGTCTACTGCTTTATAGCTAGGATTCTTCGAGATCTGAGATATGATTACTAATTATTAACATGGTACCTCACTAATCTTCTTTGATAATGGAATACGGTAACACTGTTAAATTTAGCCTCAATAATAAAATATTGTTGTAATATTACTACAGATCTTTGAAGACCAGAGCACCAGACTGAATGCCTCTTTCAGCTCTTAAACAAACATGTAACCATTTCTATACTGGCATTTCCCTCTCTTTGACCACTGAGACTCGATCGAATTACTCACTATTCTTTAAGAACAAATACGAGATGTTGGAATCCCATGCGATTGAACTCTTCGCTTAGTAGTTTCCGTTTTGGTTATGGAGGTAGGCGAAATCTGCCAAAATATCAGCTTTCCAGTCAATAAAGGATTAAGTAACACCTCCTGTTTACTCATCAAGAGTAGTGAATTGTCACCATAGCGACTCGCCTAAAGAAGAGTGACCTTCAGTCTTCTATGATACTTGGAATTTCTCTTGACAAGCGTCGTTTATCACATCAAGCAATTTTTCGTCGTATCTATGGATGCTCGTGGAGGCTTAGTCAAATACACTCATATCGATCTGCCAGTTCAAACCACTCTTCTCGCACAGCTCAGCAAACAATGAGGTGCATTTCGTTTTCAGCAAAATCATTATGATAGACAAGCAGAGTACAGATGGAGGTGCTAAGTGCTGACCAATATGGAGAGGTGACAACCACGTTGTTTATTGAAGTTCTGTCGAAAACAATGTGAAAGTGGTTGAAATAACAATTAGTACTCATTGAACATTAGCCACAAAAATGAACAGGATGTCTGTGGTTCCGGAAACCTTGAAGACAAAGAGATAAGAACGGAAATCGCCACGTTTGTTAGGTCATTATTTCACTAGAGTCCAGTGTTAACATATTCTCGGCGGTGCGTATTGATTCCAATATGCAAGTTGACGGGCACTGTAGTCGGTGCATATTGAGTTCAATTCATTTTCTTTTACCGCATAGAGCTTTTTTCTCATACTTTCTATGCTTAATCGATAGCTTTTCTAGCATAGATGCTCCGTAATAGTTTACCCTTGAAGCGCTTTCCTTTACCTTCAGTAATTTACAAGGAACCTTTCTTCTAACGAGCTCATTGACCAATACTTTAGTTGACGATGGATTGTTATTTCACTTCAGTCGCTACGATGAAGTAGAGTTATCGTATGAAATTCTTAGATATAAAAGCTTCCGAAATAGAGTCAACATAAGCCGCAGAAGACTCCCACATGATGTCAGCAATGTGGTTTTATTCTGGATCATAGTAACATGTACTAAATAGTAGCATGCATATCATAAATGTCGTTAGAGAGACAGACCAAAGTCTCCTCTATAATTCTGCCATTATCTCAACCTCTCCAATCCTCTAGTTATCACAATGCCATCTACTGTCTTAAAATTAGAATGTCCGTAACGACATGAAATTGGGTGTCGTCCCACACCGGAGCCAAAAGGATAAGAAAATTTACGCGTGCGGCTAATGTAGTGAAATAGCTCAGTAAATTTGTGAACACATGTTGACTATGATATTAACAAGCACAACACTTCGATCAATTCAGTTTGCCCACTCAAGAGTATTAATGCCACCAGTTCCCTCCATACCTTTTCATTTGGACAGAGAGTGAATGCTAAAACTTACGATGCATGCCAAACATTTTACACTACTACTCCTTGCCACACTTCACTGTACTGCTTGAATAAAAGCTGTGAAGTTCCAAGAATCAGCATAACTAACCTGTTAAACTCCTGGGCAGGCCAGTGGTTCTCAGGACTGTGATGGAAATCCCTTACGGTAACATTTTTCTCGTCGAAATTGATGCAATACCTGCGATAAAACTCCATAAGAGGATGATTCTTTAACATGTACTAGAAGCTGGGAACTAAATTGAGATCTAACCTCGAATTGTAGGAGTGCTCACATTTAACAGCCCAATCGAGATTGAATCGCAGAGAAAAAACAAAATATAATAAATTTTGAGCTGCTCGAAGCCCTTCAACATAGAGTCGCTCGGCGACGTGCCATGTCAACGCCCAGCCGAGGCCTAAAACAGTTTTCATTACGGAAACACTTAATGTGGTTCCCTTAGCTCAGGTCTTTTTCATTGATAACTTCAAGTCATATTCGGAACATCTCCTCGATGGGGCTATTTTTTACGCAAAGCTGCTAGTCAGTGTGATTTAGATCAGAGCCGGAACTGAAATACTGACTGAGCGTACACTGCACATATCATCGTTCTATTTCAGTGATGCTGTGTTACAACGAAGACGTGCAAGGTCGTTGAAGGAGTTTGTGAGAAAAAACATTTTGAGAGAAATCGGGGTAAAATCGGACTCGTCCAAAATCCAAATGAAAATCGTCCATCTCTTAGAATTGAAATAAACAAGCGAATCCGGCTTATTCGCTAAATATCAACAAATCTACTTCTTGTCGGGTTTCATGCTGTTCCGTCCATAGTAGTCTCCTTTCACCGAAATCGAACATAGTTTGGTGATTTGTGGACGAATTTGTCCACTTCTAAGCAATCCTCTTTTTTTGAGGGTATTTGTTCGCCTTCCGATAGCTTATGTAAGTTCATAGAAATACTTAAAGACTACTTTTATTTTCAAAGAGTTTAGTTGTATTTGCTAGAGTTAAAGAATTGATTAAACATAGAGGTGTGAGGCTGTTCGTTCAGAACTGGACAGTTTCATAAAGGTAGCGACGAGGCTACTTTTCTTAAATCTCTGATTAAGGCCGTGCCGAAAAACATTTAAGCACAATAACAACCTCGTGCAAGCCTATCAATAAACAGAATTAATGATCACCGATACCGAGGTTCAACGAAAGCCGGAATTGAATGTCTGCTTTGCCATATGCCAGCTGATACTAATCTGACTGGTGCAGGATAAATTGTCACCAAGAAGACATATTTTCGGTTTGCAATCGACCAAGGACCGTACTGTATCCTGGAGAATTGCGAGTGAGGTCAGGTCATTTCAGTTCGCCAAAGTCCTGCATAAAATGCCAGCGCTGGGACCGTACTTCGTTCGTGCAGCACTCCGCTCTACTCGATTAGTATCAATGTGACGGCAACGAAAACCAACATCGCAAAGAAGAAACAACTGCTGTGGACATTGGACTCGAATATTCGTGGTTTTCATGAAGGAGAAACCGCCAAACGTTTGCCATAGTAAAGATTTATAACAACGTCGTGTAAGCTGATCAATACACTAAAATTATGTGAGCCATTTATTATAGGTACGAAGGAAAAAATATTTACTTGACTCCACAAACCACTGAACACGCTAAATTTAAGTGCCAATGCCAGAGGAAATTCAATGTCATAGAATCTGTTCCTTATCAGTAGAACAGCACCACTGGCAAAAAATAATTATCAGCCTACCTCTGCAAATTACTCTACATTCCTTACTCATATACCACTGCTTCGGTAATTTCCCACGCTGTGCATTTTATAAAATCATACGTGGACCGCCGAGTGGTCGGGATGAGCTGCACAGGGGTCATTTTCTTTCCAATGGCTTATATTGGCACATAGAACCTTTTTCTACAACTATTGAAATTAACCGAAAAGTTATCGGAGACAGATTCGTGTCAGCTCGGCTAGGAAAAGTTCCGTTCTGAACATGGAAATGTAGGAAAAACGTTTTCTTGAACAAGTCCATTGATCGATAAATTGACAAGGAGTTCGTTGTGAAATCGACTCCAACCGATAAAGTGAATCATAGGTATTGTGGGTAGAATATACAGGTATACGAAACACTGAAATAGACGCAGAACACGTTGCAAAGCACTTCCAGATACAGACAGGAATATGTTCGCATGAAGGACGACAGTGACAAATAGTAAATAACGGCACACATTCCACCCATTCATAAAAACCGATAGATCAAAGTCTTTTCTACAATCTTATCATATCCATAGCTCCTCAAACCGTCAAGTCATCGGAAAACTATCGTCTATTTTCGGAAAACCAGCAAGCCCGTAACGGGTGAACAATAGGCGCGGTCCCAAGCGGCAGGGCCGTTAGACACCACGCGTCGCGAATGTTTAGAGAGAAACATGACTGTAGTGGTTCATTTAATTTCGAGGATGAGGACGCGTTGTTCATCTTGAAGAGATCGAAACTCTCAAATGTGGCTGGAATCAGTGGGCGCGAAACGATTCCGTGGTTGTGGTAGAGCAAAATAATTAAAAGCAGTTATGCCAGACACACTGTTATCGAGTAATCAATCATCATAGAAAACATTCCAGACAAAAACTATTGGATTAAGACGAAAAGATGATGCTTCTGAAGTCACAAGTATTGATTCGTATAAGGGTAAGACGGATGTCACCACTATTATAGACGGCTGACTCAGCACTATTATACATCCGACTGAGGTCTGCCTGACTTGACGCGAACACAACGTCCGGATTTCCGCGGACGGATTCGAATCTTACATTCTTGCGACTATTCGATTGAAGGGTGTTTGTTTCTAACCAGCCAATCATAAATGCGTGTGTTCAAAGGAAAATCGCAAGACAGAATCTCTTAAGTGGATGTCTCACACGCTTAGAGTTTTCCCCGTCCAATTCCTAGAAACTGATCATACAAAGATAAGGTCAGAGACGTGAAGAAAGTGAAGAACACAGGCCTCATAGCTACTCTAAAATGAAAGGTAAAAATAGAATATAATGTGAGCAAAACGAAGCAAAATGGAAAATAAGATATGAGTGTTCGTTCCGCATATGAGAAATCAATGAAATGAAGTCTGTCAGACGATTTTAAAGGTTATGGGGGTTTGTTCCACAAATTTACCGCGACGATTGCATAAAGTTGGAAAAACTAGGGCTATTTGTTCTGCCGTTAATATTTTGGTTAACGTGCTCCCAAATATGAATGAGTAATTAACCCCACCTAAGCCCCTCTAATCGAATGGATACCCCTAAGCGAGAAGAAAGAACGAGGATTTAAAAAGATGGCAATCGGAAACAGAACTATGAAAACTCAACAAACCCATAAGGGGCCAGTAAACTCTCATATTTTCACTATGTATGGTACTTCATGCTCTACTGTTTATTATTTATTTATGCTCTACTATTGCTCTACTATTTATTAATTTCGCAAAAAATCTATACAAAATACACGTTGTTAAACTCTTAACAGGGTAGAGTTATGTCTTCTAGTAATTTCATCGAGATTCAAAATTGCAGAAAAAAGATGATAGATGTGAACTAGTCAGTAGGACAAGCGTTCGATTAGAGTTCGGTGGTTCAAGCGGAGGTGACACTTGACCTTCGACGAACGTCCGTCCGGCCGAGTGACGCCATTCCATCACACCATCCCACCACAACCCCACCATAATATCGATCACGTTTGAATTCCTAGAACGAACGACAGTGGAAATCACCAAATTTTGGCCTCACTTATAATCTTCATTCCACATATAGAGCTCAGATCGTCGTCCACCGCCATGTGACGACGATCCAAACAGCGCGGACCTCCGGCAACGTCGTCGAGCCGTCACCCCGGCGATGGTGGCCGTCCGGTCGCCGACGATACAGTACGGATAGCGGATTACCAAGTGGGAACCGTCGTCACATCAACCAGAACAGCGAAATTATATCCCCACACGATCATGCGAGTACTACTTTTAGTAAAACATCACAATGAACATGCACTATTTACTTGATTACACTTACAATGAACTCCTAGATACCTACTGTAGACCTTTAGTTTCTTCGAAACCCTTCGCCACTTATGCTCTCGCTGGGTGTCCTGCTCAACTTTCGGTTACTTCCAAACAAGAATTTTTGCTATGCTTGTGGAAAATAGGGTTGTTTATGAGCATCAATAATAACGACAGCAATCATAATAATAGTAGTAATAATACGATCGTTGACAAGATTCGGAAGTCAACCATTGTTCTATTTGAAAGGAAAGAACAGTACATAACGTGGAAGACGAGGAGGTCAGGAAAACTAGTGTAAGCACATTTATTATTAGATGGGTCACAGAAAAGGCCCATCTAAATACTTCATTGTTTTCCGCTTTCTCAATAACCAGAAGTAATCTAACAGACCGCGAAAAATTAATCGCATCAAAAGAGTGACAAATCAACGAAAGAGATACGAAAAAACTGAAGAAATCACCGGAAGCGATAGGTGCGAGACGTCTGTAGGTGAGCACTGGTCCATGCGTGGACAGATTTCCCACGGACAGTATCAGTGAAGCAGCCGGAATTGCGAAAAGTGGAAAGAACACTATCCAACTGACAGGTGTAAGGGCAAGTTGTGTCGCCAGCGGTGCAACGGCAAGTAATGCGGTCGAATAACCGTACGCATCGTCATAACCGAACATGCTCAGCTCAGAGGTGATTTCCAGATCCAGAATAGGAACATGGAACAGAGCAGAACGAACTGGGAGAAGCGAAAACGGGAACGGCAGATGTAGAGTGGGCAGGGCGACCTGCTGCGGGTGGGTGAGTGGCGAGGCGGCGACGGCGGCGCTCCTATCACACGCACTGTCATGAGCACATGGCAACTGGCGGTCGGCTCCGCCCAGGTGTGTCGCGCCATTGTGCCCGGCCGGGGACAAACACCATCCTGGACGCGGGCAAACAGTCTCCGACGACAGCCGTAGCGGTGCAGCGCTCGAGGAGCACCGGAAGCAATAGTTGCTCGTTCCTGATCAATGCGCGATTGCATCTATGCACTAGTAGAAATTCGTTGTGTTAGATTGAAGTATGGTAAATGTTTTACGAGAAGAATTCGGTCATTGTTTACGATTTCCTGCACCTGAAAAACGCATCGAAAAAGTTTCAAGATTTCACGACTGGTTTTCTTTTGACAAACTGGAAACTTTCCAGTGTAATTCGCAGAGGCCTTTCGGTTCACTTGATATTTGTCATATCCTGTCCATCGTTTTGGACGAATTTTGAACTTTCCATTGTGGAGACCGCCATAGAAATTGTTACACTCCGCTTACTAAAACTAAAGGAGGTTATGACGACTGCGCTAACAGCGATGATCATACGAGCTATATATAGATCACATGCTCAAAAAATGACCTTCCAACTTCAGCACTTATGCGACGACGTGATCTCCATTGATTTAATGCTGTAATACTTTGCACACATGAAAAAAAGTGCAGGAAGTATAAACATTATGCTTTGTGAGTTACTTAATTTCTCAACTTCTTCAATTGTGAAATCTTGTTTTGTTGTTAAATTAACAACATCATCCCGAAACAGACAGCTAAATGCATATTTCGTATAGCATCAAACTTCAATGAACTCTAACACAGCGCTGGATTTGTTTTTCAAGGCTCATATCCCTCGAGTAGCGAAACGATTGAAAAAGAGGAATTTTGCCCGTAGGGCAAAGTGGGACTCCAACTGTGTTGTTTGTAAAGTTAGCACTACCGCCAAAATCGTTTTGCAAAAATTAACTCTAGCAATATTTCATTATGTACAAGTTTTAACAGGTTTTCAAACAAGAGCAATATTTCATGAAAGCTTTATAAACGCCTAGAGGATGAGGTCGCAATGTTTGTCGTAGGGCCATCATTTACTACTATGTGTCATCTGTAATAAAAGCGTCAGTTTCCTTAAATTCCTAGAGGTTTAGAATACTGAATTCGATTAGTTTCTTTTCATATATAACCCACCAGAGCTTTTGGAATTTGGATATGTTTACGGTTTCTGTTTGAAAATTTTTGGTGTTCATTATGAATATCGTGGAAAGCAGATCGAGTTGACCGCCCTGAAATCCTGAAAACCATGCTACGGCGGTCCCAGATCACTAAACAGTCAGTGTCTAGCATTTATGGATCAGAGAGAGGTTTTCCCAGACAACACTGACACCACTTTCTGAACCCGGAGAGGATGGGAGTTTTGGCAAACTTAATGTGGAACTAAAGAAGAGTTTTCGCAGTGGTTTTGCGCGTAATGAATGACGTCTCTTCCACTGTGTTACACGTGTCCATTTTAAAAAAAAGTTGGTTGAAATTGAGCTAAAACCTAACGAACGAAAAGTGAGTGTTTCGTTGTGACGTTTTTAAAATAGCAAAAACAGAAGCTCATTGCCATTTCTTTAAGGTACTGCTTACAAACGAAACCGAGAGATCAGCGGCATAAAGTTTTTCCACACGCCAGTGTGATTTGATGAAAGAGTAACTACTAAATGAAGCAACTGCGTGGCACTGCTCGTTGGTTGATTGAACTTCGTCAGAATCTGGGTAGGTACGTGAGATCCCTAGATGGTAAGCCATCCTGTAAATACGGCTGAGCTTCACCACGCATTTCACGGAGACGATGCGTCTTGAACTCGGTTCGTTATATTCCAGATAAGCTTGCAGTTTTGTCCTAGTCAAAAACTTTGTCAAAAACCAGAAATGATCGGAACGAGGCCTAATGCAAAGAAGTGATGATCTAACAAAAACAGCTCTTCGTCTAAGATTTCGTCTCTATTGATTAAGCTATTAGTCATAGCCACGAGTAGGCGTCAACTTTCGTCTGCTGATAGCAGTGCACTTCACGACGAGGCGTACGCAGCCAAACTGGCAGTTCAACACGAAGAACGGAGAAAAAACAAAAAGGTCTTCTGAAATTTCAGCTAATATTCCCTGTTTTTTTTAAATGAAAAGACGACTGCTGAATTTTGTTTTCTTCACATACGAAGGTGTAATGGTATGGTACTATTACGGAGCTTTCTCTCTCATCTTAGAATAAAGTGGAGTGGAATGGCGACCTTTGATTGTTATAAAGTTTGGGTGTATTTATTTGTTGCTGGATCCATCGCGATATCCAACGAACTCTGTAGGTTTCATCCGGTGTTTCCGAGGTGTCTGAATGCCCGAGTTCAGGAAGACCTACAGACCAAGAATCCAGGTGAAGCAGCTTTAACCATAAGTTCAAAATACCGTTGTCCAACATTCCTGTGCTTGAGATTCTTCTTCAATAATAGAGATGTTTGAGCTGTTTCATAAAGTTGTATAGGGTTTAAGCTTAATCAGGTCTTATCATCGTTCATGATCTAAAATGAAGATACCACGTACGTCTTGAAGTCTCAGAAGTCATCTTTAGCATTTTTTATACGTGACTTTTCAACGTAGTACGCTGTACATATAATGGTGACTGCAAATTCCCAGATTCCTCTCACAAATTTTTCGCTCTTGTTGCTCATACCAAAGTCTTCACCTCTTTGTTTTGTTTCGTTATTCCACGTTTGGTGATCTTCCACAGTTCAAGCAAGTCGTCAATGTGGGACTCATTACACCAAATTTTTGTCTTCAGTGACCAACACTTTGTGGAAGCTAGGATGCTGTCCTAATCAGAGATTTTTTTTGTGTCATTTACTGCGGAGGTTCAGTATTTGCAACAGTTTTTCTGGTTGGTTACAGAAAGACTTCTTTTCCATCATTTGGCATTTATACATTTTTCGAAAAGCCATCGCACTATTCTTACTCATACAATTCTATTGCTAATAGGTATCTCGATTGTTTAGACTTGAACAGTATGCAAGTTGTCGAGATCCGTCTTATCGTAACATCCTCAAGTAGGTAGGCTGAGAAATCGCAAGTTTCGTTGCCCTCACAAGCATTGCTGCAGCGCTGAAAAAATTGGAACCTCGAAGAAATGAGCCACCTCTCGACCTACAACGCTTAACGACCGTTCGTGGCGAAGATCTGGGAACATTCTAGCACGAATATCTCAGGACTAAAGCGGAGATCACATTTGCCTGGAATTTCATGTGTCATTCAGTGGAGAAGATTTTCAAGTCGAACATCGAACCTACATCCAAACTTAACTACTGTGCTTGTTGTTGGTTGTTACTGTTGGTATCCGCACTGAACGGACATGCAACATTTATGGATAAACCATCTTAGTATCTTTGTATAAATTGTCGTGATCATGAAAGTTTGGTTTTATGTTTATTGGATTTCATTTCTTAACTGAGTTCGAGCAAAATACAGTGATGGCGTCCTTATCAGTAGATGCATCACTGCTTACACTCAGCTCTGATGGAATTCATGGAATTTGAGATAGATCTTCGCTTAAGCGATTACTGTATAGAAAATCGTTAACCAGAGGACATCGTTACCAAAAAGGAAATATCGCTAATGACAGGGTAGATGAAGATGTTTTGCAAACGTTTTTTCCAAGGATCAATAGAGCTGTCATAACAAATTACCTAGTATTTTATTAAGCAAAGCACACGGAGCAGAACTTAACTTCTAGACACTCAAAAAACTTCTTCAATAGTTTGGGTATAGAAGGAACTCGTTCATGACATATTTATTCAAAAATAGTGGGTTGCTTTTTCTCATTAGTCTTTTCCTGGCGTGTAGTAAAATTGCTGACAAAAACGATGAGTGAGAGAGACATCTAGAAAAAAGCGATGTCAACAAAAATGTTTGAATACACTAAGTGATACAGTAGATGTGTAAAGACAGTAGCCGTAAGGATTCTACGAGAGTTGTCGTCTTAAGCGACGACTACCCTCCTTCTGGGTCCTCATAGAAGTTCCGCAGCAGGTGAAACTTCATAGAATGGGTTCCGTTGTCGCGTAAATTATAATGTTCACGAGAATCGGGCATGTAATCCTTTTTTCAGTCGTTCATATTCGTTAGTAAAATCGAGTTCTTGCATCTTTATATTTTTAGGCTGAGAAATATTACACAAATTCGTGTGACAAAAACGAGTAGGCACGAAAAAAGACTACGTTCTTTTCTTCACCACGGTCTTGACAACCCCATCGACTGCCATCACACTAGGTCACACATAGCTTCCTGAAAAAAATTGTTGGAGTACAAAGTATTCAAGCGAATATCTAATGTTTTACCTCTGTTTATGTGATTCTGCGATGATATGTGTATGTTTTAAGCCCCGTACATCGTATCAGATCGTTGAAATGCATTTCGCCCGACCATAAATAACGTTTCCAAAGACAAAACAAAATAGTGGAAAAGTACGTTGACATTAGAAGAGAAATAAATAACATTAAGAACGGTAAAGGGTTTGATGTTGATCAGTCCCAAAAGGTCGATCTCGATGTATTCGGCCACAATCGTTGAAGTGATTAGATGGAAATTCGGACTATACAATCAGTCACAATGCTGCTGGGATATGAGCAAAACTCAGACCTTCACATTCTCTTTGAGGTCTCAATTACTGTTCTCGGGGCTCACGTGTTATCCACTGCATTGTCTTTCACTCAACCATTTTTTTACCCTAATGGTGCTATCAGCAATCATCCGTCAACGAGAATGATCTGTGGAGCATAAATCGGCATTGAGCTCAGTTAAGAAGGTAGCATGCAGTAAATCAAAGTTAAACATAATCAGTGTTTCGTTATCCC